CTAATTCCAAATATCACGTGTATGTCGTGTAGCTGGTTGTTTTCTCTGGTTGTCGTGTGAACAAGTTACAAGCAACCTTTCAGACAAATGTCAGGCACCTAAAAAAAAAAAAAGCTCTTTCCATTGCGATATCTCCTTCTAGCGAGCGCTTCTGTCTGCCTCCCTCGCATGGTGTTAAACTCCCCCAGCGTTTAGGATCACAAAGAAGAGTCCACCCCCCCTCTGCCATCGCCTCGCTGGAGGAACTTTAAAGGAAGTGGAGCTGCTCTCACATTCGTTATCCCGCTTGTCAGAGAGAACGTTGTCTGGAAAGGAGACGCGTGATGTTGAAACGAGTTCCCCCCCCCCACCAGCAGGTCAGCCGAGGTCAGACAGAGCTTCATTTAATTGCTCAACTCGACCCGCACACTGAGCCATACGCACAAACCGTAGGATGCACACGTGCAGTAGGTGTGTCACTTCACTTCACTCAGGTAGAAAAAGGCCGAGAGTGCGTTGACTGAGCGAGTGCCGCTCTCGTGATCATGAGTGGAGCTCTTCCAAAGGTTAACGCGCAACTTGTGTTCGGAGAGGAATCTGAAACGGCCGGGAGCCGCCGAAGGGTCAGAGCGACTCAAACCCCTGAATGACGATGTTCTGCAGCCTGAGAATGAGAATGTGCAGTGGAACTTGTGTAAAGCTGTTGTGGGGGGTAGAGATGCATGCTGATGTTAGCATTTTCCTCAAATCACCTCTGTGCATTAACTCAGTCTCACAGAGCTGCAGACTGAGAGTCTTTTTTTGCGTTTTTTTTACTGAGGGGAGGGTTGAGGTTTGGGTCCCGTCTGGCCGTTCGAAGCCAAAAAAGGAAGGAGGTGTCGTCTCACTACTGTGCTGCTGTTTGGTGGTCGTGGCTGCGAGTGTCGTACTTCTGATTTCAGAATGGGGACATTCCCATTACGGGGGACCACCTCCATCGTCCCCCGTAGCGACGACTTCGCCTCTTCCTCGTTGTATTCGCATCCTTCCGCCGCCTGCCCTGCTGACACCAGGCCACCGTCCCACAGCGCCGGGACGTCCCGGAGAAAGCCGTGGCAGAGACGGGGATGATCCGTGTCAGAAACACCCCTCCTCCCCTCACTTCCTGTCTCTCACTTTCAGTCTCATTGTGTGTCTGCCTCTGTGCTCGGCGTTGAGGGCTCGGCCGGGTCAGCGTGATTCACGGCGGTAAGCCGAAGGAGGATTGGATCTATTTATAGTCTCGTCTGACCCTGAGTCGGTTTGTCTGTTTCTGTCATTCGTTTGTCTCATATCAGTTGGTTTTACTTTCATTGAAGAAAGACTGATCAGCCTTAACAAGCTAGACCTCTCACTCCCAGAGATCAATCAAGATGCTCACACACACACTAAAGATTCCTTTAACCGAACACTGATCCATGTGATATGCAATAGACTGTATTGACTTTGAAATGCTGGATTAATGCTCCGTCAATGCATATGTCTGTAAAATGAAGCCAAATACAATTACAAGACACTTGAGGCGACAGTAAGAGACTTTGAATTCCTTCGTCTGTCAAGCCGGCAGTCTAATGTAACACAACAATGGAAAAAATGTGTGTGTGTGTGTGTGTGTGTGTGTGTGTGTGTGTGTGTATGTGTGTGTGTGTGTGTGTGTGTTAAGGTAGGAAACAAGCTGAGAGACATGCTTTTAGTTTTCATTGACTTGTCTGGACAGTCACTAAAAGCTTCAAATGGAATCACTAGATGTTCTAATGGCTTTGCGCCACAACAACAACAACAACAACTTGGACACGCGACGCACACAGATGCACTCCATTACTGTGTGGTTCTTGAAAGTGTGTGAATAGAAAACAAAAACACTAAACGGGCAGACTTCATCTAGTGGGAAGGTGGATGTTTGGCTCATTCGTTTCTGCTCCCTGAGTGATTATTTGAAGTGTTTTGCAGATATTGTCACGTAGTATATATGAGGGTGTTTGCTTTATATGATGTCATTTAGTTGGCATTTAGAGTCTAAGGAGTAGTAAGTATTTTCCGTGAATCGGAATCTGTTATGTTGTGCAGGTATGAACACGCACTCTACTAATTAGACTTTAGGCTATTTTTGTTCTCGTTGTACAGAAGTGAAAATAGAGCCAAGAACAAACCGCACACTAAGCTACTATGTACCGCTGTGTTGAGCTTTACGTTGTTGACGATATGATGTGACAGCATCTCTCTGTGAAGCTGTGAAAGGGGTTTACGTATCTGAAACAAGTCTAATAAAACCTTACTGCCGTTAAAGCTGCAGTAATGAAGGTTATAATTCATTACCAATGGTGTGATCGCTCTCTTTTGCTTTTATAGGGCGAGCCGCCGCATCGCTGCAGGTCTCAAGTACCTAGTTTCATTCAACCGTTTATCTCTGATAATGAGGCGACCGATTAGGTGATTCCATCGATCTACAGCAACACTTTATATCTTATGTTGAACCGAGATGTGTTTGAAACGATGTGTCAAATGTTGCTCTATCAAGCTGTCATTTTAATATTAGTATTTTTGTAGACTTCTACTTTCTTTCAGTTGTATCTTTTGTATTTAAAACTGATCACCTTCTGCAAATACTCCATTCTTTCCTCTTGGTTTCATTCTACAGAATTTGTGCGTTGTGAAGCCTGTGCTTGTTCGCTTGTCTCTCTGCTGAAAACTCCTCAGTCATTGCTAGCGTCCCCAAGCTGCCCAGACTGTCTGCTACCACAAGCATAACAACGCCGTCGTCTCAGGCCAGCACTGGAAAATAATACTATTTCTGCGGGCTGATCCAACTGCTGCGACTCCAGGCAACCGAAATATCCCATTATGTCTGTCAGAGTAAATTGGTGGAATGTCTGCAAAATGTTTTTTTTTTATTTCTCACAGACACACTGGTCAGAATAAAGCATGTTTGTGTGTTTGTATGAGGTCTAAATGAAAAGCATGGGTATTGAACTGAGCAGGATAGACCTACACATACCTGCGGGATAAAAACTGCAGCTGATTTGCAAATCAGGGGGGGGTCAAAGGTTACGGGTCAAACTCAGGATGGCGTGTCGAAGCCTCCGTGTCTCCTCGATTTAATCAATGCGCGTCTATCAGTTTTGAGCGAATTGACATCTCTCATTGACCAAGTGTCTGACTGCACCTACAAACAAACAAGTTGGAAGAACCAGCTGAAACTAGAACGTCATCAATAGTACTTGTGATGCCGGCCGTCCACATTGAGTGTACCGTAAATAAAGTAGCAGTGAATTATTACTGATGAGAGGCCGCTTATGTCAGTTGTTTGTCCCCTGAATCACTGCCGCCAGTATGTGAGATACATAAGCGCATCTCATTTTCATACATTTTGAATGTCTTGTATGCACACAAGGCCACAGTTTACATATTTATGTAGTAGTTTACATTTTCCACTGCCTCCCCAAAGGCTCCTCTCGCTATTAGTATTTCCTGTGCTTGTTGCAGTTGGTTGCCGGGTATGAATAAACTCTAGCCTATAACTACAGCTGTTAACCCGTGGCTTACCTCCACCTTATTATCTGGGCTCATTGATTATTCATTCATTAGTTTCTACTACACAGTTGTCTATATGCTTCTGTCTGTGCACCCATGGGACTGTTGGATACCATATCTTCACTATTATTTGCATTTAACTTTGTTTTTCTACACGGTACCTTGCTGGCTAATCAATCTGCAGTCATTACTCCGGCTAGTTGACTCAACAGGGTTGAACATGTTCCCCCCCACAAATTTTCTCCTGAAGGATTTTAACAAGACGCCTCTTGTTTCCATAAAGATTATATCGTTGCCAAACTGCTCGTAACTCAGCAACAAAAAGCCACTCTCACTGTGGCTATCTGACATTTAAATTAGTCGCATCCCAGTCACTTGTACATGTGGTGTCTAAATGTTCTAACATTTTGTGAATCTATAAATAAAAAAAATAAAATAAAAAATTGATCCCTCTGTATTGGTAATGTAAGTTGGTAGTTGTAATCACCACCATTATAATGATTTTAAATGGTTAAAAAAAGTATGTTTTCAGTTGAAGCTACAATAGTTTTGTGCTACAGAGCTCGGTAGGTTCAAGAGAACGTCCACATTTGTTTACGGGAAGTTGTGTTGACCACAGGACGTGAACGGCGCTCTGGGTGAAAGCGTTGTGTTGCTCCGATCCATCCGTCCCACACTTCACGTGACTTCCCCCGGCTTAAAAACACACGATGCTGAGCCAGTTAGCCTCAATGGGCTCATGTTATTCTAAGCGGGTGGAATGACCAGTGCCTCTCCCCCGCTTTCACTCACACACACATAGACAGACACGCACACACACACACACACACACACACACACACACACACACACACACACACGTAAAGCAGCCCCATCTTTCCCGTGAGACCAGGTTGTAGGTGGCAGGTGTGTCCGGTATGTACTGAACCTCTGACACCATGCATTTGTCACCAGCATATTTCTGTCCTACAGACAGTCTGCCTGCCCTTAACGCACGCGCACAAATACGGACACACACAGATGTCCTCCACTCGCCATTAGGATCATTATCTGGGCGCTGATTGTATTAAGGGCGGACCCACAAGACTAATTCCACTAAGTGCAAAGAGCGTTTGCTAGAGGTTGTGTGTGTGTGTTACAGTGTGTCTATCTGTCCAGTTGTGCAAACTCATATGAGTTGATGCCTTTTCGCTTGTCTGTGTCTCTTACCCTGTTGACTCGTCTCCGCTGCCCCCTCCAGCTCCAAGTCGGTTACAAGATGGCGGGTTTAGGGGAAAAGAAAATGTTTAATCATCGCTGCTGATGTCCCTCCAAACCAGACATCAAGTTATATAAATCATGTATTTGCTGTGTGTCTGTGGAAAGTTATAAAAAAGAGGTTTCCAATGTCACTGACAACAAAGTCTTGTTCTTTTCTTGCTGATACTTGAGTTTAGTCTTCACTGGTTCGTCCCCATCTTCTCTGCCCTCAGACCACCAGAAACTGGAACGGGAGGCGAGGATTTGTCGACTGCTAAAACATCCAAACATAGGTGAGTGGATTAGTGGAGCGGCTGTGCTAAGTTGGATGTTAAGAAGTCACCGCAAAAGTCTTACTTTAAATTCTCACGTCTTTTTCTCCCTTTTCCTCTCGCCTTGATAATCGCCAATATAAAAAGAAAATATTGATCCTTGATTTTTGAGTTTTTTTGATTGATTTTTCAACCATACATTTTTTCAAAACTTTTTTCGGCCTAATATTTTTTACTTTTTTCATATGTAATATTTTTTCAAAACCTTTTTCTACCGTACCTTTTTCAAAACGTTTTGACCTATATTTTTCGAAGCTTTTTTCAGCCAATTTTTTTCTCAAAACATTTGTCAACCATATATTTTTCCATATTTTTTCAGCCTAATATTTTGACTTTTTTCTCAAAACATTTTTTGACCGGATATTTTGTCACCTTTTTTCCAAAAAATCTTTTTGGCCTAATATTTTTTTACTTTGCTATATATGTATATTTTACTGTACACCCACACACACATGAAGGGTATAATAACAGCATGATGTGTATGTTTTCATTCATTCCCTCTTTTTCTTCTTGGTCTCACTTCCTGCTTTGTCATCGTCCTATTATACCTTTTTTTCCCCCCCTTTTAATCTTAATCTCAAGGGGAGGGCAACTCAAGTTATCTTGTCTCAAAACGTAAGATGTCTGAAGTGAGAAGAGAGTAATATCCAACACTTTCAGGCCTAATTTAAAGCACTCCAGTGCCTTCACCCATGTTTTTAATCTCCCTTTGAGGTGGCTACTTATCAACACCTGATGATAATCGGAGTCTTTGTTGGCAACGGCTTCTCCTGTGTGAAGAAAATGTGTCTGCTCGTCGGTGTTCACTGTCTCAAATGAATTTAGCAGTATCACATTAATTATGAATGACTAAAATGTGGCAACCGCTCTGTCAACTTCCAACTTGTCATCCAAAAGCTGATTCCTGGTTGCCAACCAGGCAGGTGGTCCTCAGACTTTAGAAACCCGGAGTGGATCCTTTCGGTGAACCAGGCCGTGTATCACTGGACCTCCTGGGCCTTACACAGGCCAGTGATCAATGACAAATTGATCATCTGCCACAAATGGCCGAGGCTTTGTTATAATGGACAACTCAACTCAAGTAAAGTAAATAAACGGTTTTAATCGTGAATTAAGATGCTCCGTCGTCATTATTCAATAAATGGTCGAACTAGATAAAGAATATAAATCAAAATCAATTCTGCACAATTTACAGACTTACATAAATTAAATTAGACCAAATATAAGACAACAACTCCAACTTGTCATCAAGGTAAACTGCACTTTGTCTTCTCATTGCTCTCCTCATTATACGTTGTTCATGTTATTTACCTTGCAGGTGTCAGGCAGCTGGATCTGATGTCTTCGGGATGTTTAAATAATATTAATGCCAAATATTGTACTTTATTCTGTGAAGTATTCTTAAACGATCTAAAATGATAACTTGTTATTTCATAAGTAGTATTGTGCAGCAACTCTCAAGCTGATCATCAAATATCAAAATAACAAAGTGTTACTGGGATTAGAAACCGTCATGTGTATAAAGCGCGCGCGCACACACACACACACACACACACACACACACACACACACACACATACACAAACTCCGATTCATTCAAGGTGATGGTCGTCTTAACTTGATTTCTAAATAAAGTGTCTCTCTTTCTTCCTCGCTAGTACGACTCCATGACAGCATCTCAGAGGAAGGCTTCCATTACCTGGTTTTTGACCTGTAAGTAAATCACATTAACACGCACGCACGCACGCACGCACGCACGCACGCACGCACGCACACACACACACACACACACATTCATTTCTGGAAATCTTAGAACTTGAAACCAAAAAGTGATAGCAAATGCCACAAGGTTAATATTACTCAACCCACATGTGTAATTCCAAGAAAATTAGAAATAGTTTAAATAAAGTTAAGCTAAGTAAAGCTAAGAGTCAAAGCCACCGTGATGCAGATGTATATTTGTAAAGCGTGTTTCATCCACTGGCGTGTGATTTAACTGTTAGAGCAGTTAGAGCGTCACACATGGACCCCGGTGGATCTAATGAGGACGGGTCGCCGCATTAGGTCTCCGAACCAACCAGAGTCTCCGTTGTGTTTGTCTGCAGCGTCACCGGAGGAGAACTTTTTGAGGATATTGTCGCTCGAGAGTATTACAGCGAGGCCGATGCCAGGTACAGTATGTCGTCACGTGTCATCTTATGCGCGGCTCGCCATCTCTCTCGGGCGCGGCGCGCTTTCAGGCTTCCAAATGAGTTGTGTGAAAGTACAAAATGTTTTGCCATTCAAATGTTGTGTTGTGCTGCGCGCCTTAGTAGAAGAAGCAGTGCTTGTGGCTTCCGGCACGTCTCTGAGGTTTATTTTTGACCCGTGGCTTTTTATTCCATTAATAAACAATGAGAAAGCTGTTCTCTGTCTAAGTTTTTAGACGTTATTTTGGGCCTGTTGTCAGAAGCTGCAGTTGTTGTTTTTTCCGCTGCAGCACATTACCTGCTTGGATTGTGCGGACTGAACTGTATCCACACGCTCCAGCAGACGTGTGGTTGTTAGTTTATTAACCTGCTCATAAAAATAGAATTACATAAAAATAACTCCACATGATCCAATGAAAATTCACACGTTTAGGAAAGCTAATTACTGAACATCACCGTCATGTTCGGGCTCCTTCAGCAAGGAATACGGAATAGTTTTCCTGTTTGTGCCTGTTAATAGGGAGGTCTATTAACCCTCTGGTGAATCTAAGGCAGTAATGATACATAATGATTATCAATCAGGTGTAATGGTGTTGTTCAGGTGCTTAAAGACATATATATATATAGTTTTTCTTGTCTTTCAAGTATTCTATGAAATAACAGCTAAAGTCAAATTTTGTATATTCTGTATACAAGTATGTATATACTATACCTCAATACATGATTCCATTGAAAGACAATAAATTATATTTAATTATTGCTTTTAAATATACAGATTGGTAAAAGAAGGCTCTGACACACATCGTGGATTAGTTCTCTTCTGATATTGAACTCAGAACAGAATTCAGGAGGATAGAATGTGGAATGCAGGTTCAAAGTGAGGCGCTTTCCTTTTGACTGCTTCACACACACACACACACACACACACACACACACACACACACACACACACACCCAGAGAGAGAGAGAGAGGACACAACCCTCCCCAAATCGTCTCCGTGCCCCCGTCCCGACCCTGACTTCACCAACTAATGTCAACTTCAATTTGAATAAATTATACTGTTTTTATCTGCGCATCAGACCAGCAGAATTGCTGATACGTAAGCTTACATAAGACCTCCCCATAACACACACACACACACACACGCTGCCTGCTTCACATGCTTTCACTTCACTACGTAGCAAACTTTTCTCCCACATACAACTCTTATCCTCTTGTGCAACAACTCGCACATCGCAAGCGTTTTTCAGTGTGACATTTTGTAAATTGCAGGTACGTTGGAGAGTCATTACAGGGCTCTCGCAGGTTCATGCATGAGTCATACACATACCAGTTGGGTTTTTCAGTGGAGCGTGTCGCAATAAGCGGGAGGAAATGATCTCATTTTGCAAGTCACAGCCGGGCATGTTGTAAATGTTGGTGGAACAGGCTCCCATTCAGCCACAGGAGCATTGGGCTCAGGTTTGTGCCTGAACAAAAGTGTTGCGTGAGTCTTCATGAAGTTCATTTGGATTAAAATTCAGAATGATCAGACAAGCCAGCCTCAGAAAATAGAAAAGGATGAGATGCGTTACTCCTTTTGAATCTAGGGAAAACAATGCGTATTTTCAGCTATTTGCGGTATTGTACTTGTTCACATGGAATGTGACGGATATGGTTGTGTAGAAAGAAAAAGAGAGAAGTTGAGACCCTGCTTACTTTCTCACTTCACAGTGAGTCAATAGAGGCGTGGGCGTGAGGGGGGAGGGGGGGGGGGCTGTCGCATTGTGTGTTTTTAAAAGTCAGTGAAATGGTCGGACGCAGCCCCCGCAGAGCTCGAGGTGTCATCTTTCTTTGTCTTTTCTTGTCTTTCTTCATCACTCAGCCTGTGTTAACATATCCCGCCCTTCCGGTACAGAATCTCTCCGTCTCTGACCTCGCCGGAAAGAGTTATATATAATATAAAATGTTGTAAAAAAAACAAACGAGAGAAAAGGATCAACGAGGAAGACGTTGCGTAAAGTTTAAACGTAATGTAAAAACCCTCACTGACGGTTCTACTTCCTCCTTCAGCCTCCACTCTCTTTGCCTGTTGTCTCGTCTCCTGGTGGGACGGGTAAACCCATGTGTCTCCCCCCCCGTTCTGATCCTCCTCTGTCTCCTCCAGCCACTGCATCAATCAGATCCTGGAGAGCGTCAGTCACATCCACCAGCATGACATCGTGCACAGGGACCTCAAGGTGAGCCATCGCATCCCAACCAGCTGCGCTTATCGCACTGAAATGACGCCTTGCGGACTCACAGACGCTGCGTCGTGCATCCCTCTGTCCACCTGCCTTCTCTATTCCCCATGTCCATCTACGCCTGTGCCCCCTCCCCCCACCTCTGCTCGTGTCCCCTCTCACCTATCCTCCCCCCTCCTCCCGCGCGGCTGAGGAGTGACGAAAGCAGACCAGCTGCTATTAATAGCTGGTCGGTGGATGAGATGAGTGACGAGATTTCCCTCGCAGCCAGACTGACCCCCCCCCCCCCCCCCCCCCCCACCATTCCCTTCAGAGAGGCAGTTTCAGAAATATGATGATGATTACAGGTGATTGATGATGAGGACAGAAAATGGTTATCTGAACATTCAGTGATAATGTACAAATCTCTTTTGATGTATTCAAACTGCAACTATGCTGCATCGTTCTGTGCAGCCAAATACTGTTCATACACAAAAAAACATATTCAATCACCACAGGGATCCCGAAGTTTCCAAAAATACCACGAAGACGTCTTGGACTAATCCTTCATACTTGCAGGCAGCGCAACAACAGTCTTGGATTCTGGAGTCTTTGCTTTGCTTTGCAAGAACTTCTTTGGGATAAAGCTGCCAAATCTGTACTGGAGCCATGCCGTTACCAATAAAGCCAGAGACTTGTTCCATGGGAAGGTGTGACCTCACACTCGGACGCATCACATCTGCGCCTCCCTGTCATCCTGGGAGGGCCGCTCGCTGGGGGGGGGGGGGGGGAATTAGAAGAGAGAGAGAGAGAGTTGAACGCTGTTGGCTCGTGGCAGGATGAGTTGCCATGGCAACTGTAGGGTGAGGTCACCCGGCTGCTGCAGTGCCAGCGTAGGGACTCATTATGCCACCTCCCATCTATCTGTCTCTCTCTTTTCTTCTGCTGCTCACTCTCCAGCTCTCTGTCCCTGTGCAGTTCCCCTGTAGCCCCCCCACCCCTTCTCTCTCCCTCTCCTTCCAATTATTTCAGCTCTGTTCCAATAGATGGGAGGGATGATAGAAGGGAGGGATGGATACATTGATAACTAGGGGGTGACAGATGAGAAGACCACGAGCACAAAGACGTGTCGGACACCCGTCCATCCGTCAGCACTTTCCCCCCTCAAGCAACCAGAGGAGTCTCTCCCTGCTGGCCGTATGAAAGAATGCAACGTTGATTTACGCATTGGCTCCTTGAGTAGCCGCAAAATCATAAGTAGACGAAAAAAATGCTGCACGGGCTTGGATTTATTTATCTTCTTTATCCTTCTTTATCGAAGAAGGGTTCATCTGTTGTCTTTAGACCGGCTCACCTAAGCATATCTCAGAAGGCTCCTGGACAGTCAATGCTTCCTCGGTCATCACAGAGCATTTTCCCCCCCTTTCTTTATTAAAATCATCACGTATGTGAAGCGGTTTTAAGCTTGCGAGGGTGTGGCTTATGGGGGAGGGAAATGCAGAGAAAGTGAACAGCTTGCAGTGAATTACTTTCAAATGAACTTTCCGTCGGACGAAACTAGACCTTAAGCATTTCCTCAATTTCGTCTTCCTCTCCCCTCAAGTGGCGTGATATAAAGAGTCAAATGAGGAAGTAGAGAAAGCGGCGGCGGTGTCCCGGTGTACATGTCCTTTAAATGATTGTGCGATCAGGAGTGAAACAGTGATAAGTGCCGTGTCTGAAAGGTCTCTCTGGCCTGCTTGAACTTCACTGAATATTTAAGACCCTTTGTTATTAGTGTTGGCCTGCAAAGAATTTTAAATTGATGGATTTTGGCTGCATGTTTGGCGTTTTACAGACGCACTATTAACTCTGTGTGCGTCGCAGCCAGAGAACCTGCTCCTGGCCAGCAAGATGAAGGGAGCCGCGGTGAAGCTGGCGGACTTCGGCCTCGCCATCGAGGTGCAGGCGGACCAACAGGCCTGGTTCGGTAAGAAAAAGCACCCAACCGACAACTGCAGCGTGAGACCTCATTATCTGTAACTATCTCACACAAAAATTCACTTTCAGCAGCAGCGTTTGCTTCAGCAAGAAGATCTCCAACACTGCTAGAGAAATAAGGGCGGGTCAAGCCACTGGTCGTTTCAGTTCCTGTAAAAGAGAAATGATCTAACTTCAGGGGAATAGATTGGGAGAGGAATCGTTGCTTTTTAAACACCTACGTCAAACAACTTAGTAGATGTAAGGTAGTACTGCATTTTATTTAGTTTAAACATTAAAATAATCTTCAAGAATTATATAAGGAATGTTGACCTTATTAAATTGAACTCATTCTTTTTTTCCAAACCCTCATGCATTTTCATGCAAGTGTTTGTGTATTTTTGCAGGTTTTGCAGGGACTCCAGGCTATCTGTCCCCAGAGGTGTTGAGGAAGGACCCGTACGGGAAGCCAGTGGACATATGGGCATGTGGTCAGTTATTCTGCTCTCTGTGTGCTGCTGCGTTCACATGCTCACTAATGTCCCTCACTGCCATTATGCATTTTACACGCTGTACACGTTGTGTGTGTGTGTGTCTGTGTGTGCGCCAGGTGTGATCCTGTACATCTTGTTGGTGGGCTACCCCCCCTTCTGGGACGAGGACCAACACAAACTGTACCAACAAATCAAGGCCGGCGCATACGACGTGAGTACTTCATGGTCATTCACTTCCGATATGTCTCAAAACAGGAGTGTTGCGTAAATATACATTACACTGTCTTTGTCATAGCAACGGGTAAATAAAGAGAAGTTTTGAGTTAACATTAATTGGGTAAACCGGGAAATGAATATTTTTTTTATTGAGTTCTAAAATGAAGGCCATTATTTGAGAACTTCATCAGTTAATAATTTAAAAATATTGAATAGCGGAGTTTAAATAAATGGAGCTCATCTTTGCCGGCTCATCGCAGGTTGGCTGATCAAAGTGTGTATTTTGTAAATCTGTCCATGAAGATGACAGCTAAGGTCCGTCGAGCTCCATCTTTGTTGATTAAATACATAATCTCAAAATCTGAAGTGAAAAGGAAAACCAGTGCAAAGCCTGGAGATGAGCCCTACAGGACACCTTGAGTCCAGGTTTCATCAAATAACACACCGCTGCTGAGCTCCAAGTCGTTTAGAAAAGATATTTTAGCTTTTTAATTGCTTTTGTCATCGCATGATTATCTAGCTGTAGAAAAAAATAAATGATACACTGTGACACAGCGATAGGCTTATTTATCACATCTTATTGTGGTCCTCTGGGAGAATTTATTACCCGTAATAACTTCCATGATTGGAAGCAGCCACATCTAATGAATGTGCATAATCTGAGCAGCATCGATGTGAAGTGGCTGTGACAAGCCCTCATAATAATGTGCACTTCTTCAGTATCATCACTGCCATGCAGATGCCTTGAATCTCATTGTCATGTCTTTTGATTTTTTGCTACTTGGATGAAGCAGCGGGTGTAGATGGCTTTTACAACTCCACCTGTTGAGGACTTGCATGCATTGACAGAGAATTAATGCATTGTTTAAATTATGTTTTGTATGATACCCATCAAAGAGACAAATCATTGCACTGTTCCACACAGTGTGCATGTTCTTTTTCTGCAATACTCTTAGTTAATCAGTAATCAATACATAGTCAGTGAAGCAGAAAAGGAGACGGTAGGCAATAAAAAATAATTTACAATTTGATGTTGAATCAATGAAGTTCATGAATGCGAATCAAAACTATTCATTCACTTTCTCGAACACAATAATATTTATTAATATACACATATATATTATATATATGTGTGTGTTGTCAAGCAAGAAGGATAAAATGTTTAATGAAAGCATGAGACCAGTGATATAAACTCTCTGATCTCTCCCGTTCAGTTTCCTTCTCCGGAGTGGGACACTGTGACCCCCGAGGCCAAGAATCTGATCAATCAGATGTTAACGATTAACCCGGCCAAAAGGATCACTGCGGACCAGGCCATCAAGCACCCCTGGGTCTGCGTAAGTCACGACCCGAGTCGCAAACCAACTTTTAAAAATGGACGATGGTTTGAAGTATATAATCTTGATGGAGACAAAAATATAGCAGTAGGAGGTGTATTAATATAGAAAATAGAACCAAGATGCTAAAGCTTTGCGTTCTTTAATTGATGACCCTTTGCCATTTGGAATCAATAATAAAAGAGGGTGAAACATTTAAGATAATGTTTTTCTCTCCTCTACAAACAGCAACGCTCCACTGTGGCCTCCATGATGCACCGCCAAGAGACCGTGGAGTGTCTGCGCAAGTTCAACGCCAGGCGGAAACTTAAAGTGAGAATGGACACACACACAGACACACACTGGTCCACCGTACGCAAATCCTCATGCCTCTGGGTTTTTGTGTGTCCAGGGAGCAATCCTCACAACGATGCTGGTGTCCAGGAACTTCTCAGGTGAGCTTTGGATGTTGCACTCTAAATAAAGAGACAACAGTCTTCATGTGCACGTGGACTTAAGGTGCTGTTGATGGTACAGATTTGAAGAAGCTTTTCAAACAAGCACCCAGGTTTAGTCGTTCGATTTATTATTAATTAGGACAGTGATTAAAACCCAGTGATCTGAGATCTCGTTGGGGCAAATGTTACGCGGCGCTGTTGTTCTTCATGCTGCCTCAACCGCATATTTTTATTCTTGTTCAGTTCTGCTTGTCGGCTCTGTCTGCAGTTTTCATTTTGCACTTCAGGGGTTTGGCTTGTTTTTCCTCCTTGCAGAGCAGTTTGATGATCGAAACACAGTTCACCTATTATGGAACATCCAATTTGTAGGCTAGACGGTGGCCTCTCGCTCTCAAGCCATTGGCCCGGTGTTTATATGCTTTGATGTAAGTAAAGCAGCTTCGGTGGATCGCGGCCAACCACTTTCCACTGGCGGGGATTGATCTTGCCTGAACAAAGCGGACGAGCCAGACCTCTGAAAGGCTTCATAACATAACTGCAGGCGCGCTTACCAAAGAGCGTCCAAGCACACAAGAGAAGATTTCCCTTCTGATCCATTTAAAAAGGAATTAGAACTCCGTGTGATCCAAACAGTCTCTGGAAACCCGCGTGCCGTCATTCTCCTCTAAAGGTTGATCAGGCTTTAGTGAGGCTCTCGACCCACCAGGGCCTCCACATTGAATCCCTCTCTGTCCAATAGTGGGACGGCAGCATACCAGCCCTGCCGCCACCACCAGCACGGCCTCAATGGCACAGGAAGGTACGTCTGCTTGAGGGGCTGTAGGAGTCAGCTTTGCGCTCGGGGCTTTTTGGCATGTGGGGCTGGGCTGCTTGGACCCCTCCACCTGCTGCCTGCTGGCCTGCACACTGATGAGCCACTTCGGAGCGGTGGTCGTTGCACTGCGGCATCCCAACGCACAAACACACACACACACACTCACACAGAAACATGTAAATGGAGACGGCAAACGACAGCACTCGACCTTCGAGCACTGCTGCGTGTCCCGGTGCTTTAATACACGGAGCCGCCTCTCATGGTCTGGCTATTTAATTTCCCTCTTGGTGCTTAACAGCCATTTAACTGACACCCGGCAAGACCCTCTCACACCCGTCCAAGTCCCGCAGCTGCCACCCAGCAGAGCTCGGCTCACGCCGCATCAACGCGGCTCGTGGGTGCTGCGTGTCTTTTGCTCCGCAGCGTAAAACCTCGGGAGCCTTTTTCCCCTCCGGTTTTGAACGTACTTTGAGTGGGTTTGTGTCCCTGTGCTCGATGCAACCCTCCCGCCGCATGGCTGAGGCACCAGCAGCCAGCCGTGCATGTTCATGGGCGTAAAGTGCAGCACAGAATGCAAACCCTGCATGGGAAGCTGTACAAACAGAATGCACAGTGTCCTTTGTTTTCTCTTCCTCTGTGTCTCCTCTCCCCTGCCTGCTCTGCTGTATTTATACTGTGTCGAGAGCCTAAAGGCGTCAGTATGCTTCGAACTTTTTGGAATCCCCCAACAGCGTCGGGAGCCTCCTCCCCTTGGAACGTTTAATTTATGAGGGGTTATAAGAATTTAAAAAATAGAATAAAATTGAAATATGTTTTTGCTTGTGGACTTTCCTGGACTAGTCAGATGTGAAAAGTTGAAAAAACAATATCAACCATTCATATATAAACCTATTAGCACACAGCCATCTATGTGCGATCATGTGGTCGGCCAGGCGCGTGGCTGATGATATGAGGAGGTGGCAAATCAGTGGTGCAGAAATGTTTTACATTTGGCTGTTTTGAATAAAATGTGGTCATTTGATCCAATAAGATAGACTTTTATAATGATTTCCCCTTTTACGTTACTTTTGTAGCAGAGACATTAATTCATGGTGTGGTAAAATTTAAAATAAATACAGGTTTTCAAACTGACTTTCAAAAACAATTCCTCTAAAACCCTTTTCACCTGGTCTGATCAAAGACATTACTTTACCCAAAGTGTAGTTTGGGCTACTACAGTATATTCATCGGGAGAGTCTTAAAAACACCACTAAACACGTGAGATGTCCTCTTCCTAAAAGTTGGCTTTTGATTTTTACGACAATTAAATGTGAGAATTCAATGAAATATTCCCCTCAGCCAAGTGGCGCTTAGGCGCTTCCCATTGGCCGATACGCTATTCATCCAGGTCGTCTCTCTCCGGCGGACCGGTTTGAACGAAGCATACCGAAGCTTTGAAGCTTTGGAGCTGCTCGCTTAAAGGAACCCGGGCTCGATTGGTTTTGATGCCGCTCTGATCTACTCAGTGATGAATTCGCAGAGACGTCGTGCTCGTGAAGTGAAGGTTTCTGCCAATTTTGATAACCGTTAATAACGGCTCCTTTGTAGGGAGAGAAGGCTTTGAGGTGGATGCGGCATGTTTCAAAGCCAGCGTCATCGCATGAACCCACAAACGCTGTGACGGACATTTAACGAACGCTTTGACTCCTGTTTTGCGTTCAGACGTTAAGATGCAGATGTTAAATACATTACTGTTTTCTCGCCTTCTTCATCGCTCTCTTCCCTACTTTGTAAATGGAAGGTAACACGACACAAAAATGAGTGTTTATACAATACTTTGTGTATTTTATGTTTGTGTGCACGCTTGTGGACCTTTTATTCAGTTGTGTGTTGGTGAAATGGCTGAAATTCAGGTTTTGGGGGAAAAGGGGCTACTTTTTATGTTTTACTTACTTATTGTTTATGTTTTAACTGCTCCCAAAAATGTTGATTGTATGGATGCTGAATTTTTTTGTTTTTTAAATTAAAAAGGTTAATTATCAACTTATTTTTTCGCTGTTATGCTTTAAAATCAGCACGTGCGTGTGTCACAAAGAGGAAAATAGACAAATTAATTCAGGGAAAAGCTATTTCTGGTAAAATTATGAGATAAGTCCCAGTATTAAAAATATCTTTTTATATTTGGATCTATCATCTCATCCTTTTTGACACGCTCATAATCTTGATTGTTTTTGTTATACTAAATTATATTTTTGACTTAAAAAACATTGTTCTCAGCATTTCTTACAATTCTCATCGTTATTTACAAATTTTTCATCATAGTTTTGTATGGATTTCTGAATCCATGCATTTTGACAGTGATTTGCCGCCATACTTCCCTTTCTTGTCTTTGGTTTGTCGCTGGCCGAGTGACCTCGACTGACGTTTTCGGACTCTGTCCTCACTGTGTTGTCTCTCTTTCTTTCAGCGTGCAAATCCTTACTAAACAAAAAGTCGGACGGCGTGAAGGTAAGTCTTCTGATCCGTGAGAGTTTTATTGACTTTACTGCTTCTGTCTGTTTTGGTCCGTCATCCCAACGACTCTCTAACTACACGTATCTCACGTGGAAAAGCATTAAGGTCTTTTAGTGAGGTTGTCTTCCTACTGTGGTGCTCAGTTTTTAAAATGGTTATGGTACAAGTTTAAGAGTGGGGCACGATTAATTCAGATGTAATTTTAATGTGAAAGTAAGGACACAAAACGACCCACAGCCTTTTACATTTATTTTGTTTTCTGTCGCCAGGCTTTCTTTGATTCACAGCGATTCGGGCGAACGTCATGTGTTTTGTTTTAATCGGCGGTCAGCGTCGATGCGTGCAGTGAAGCGCCATGATCGACCAGGGACAAAATAAAGTTCTGGTTACATAAAGTCACTTGAACAACAACTAAATCCCCAAAACATCTTACAAATAACCTGCACGTTCAATGCTTTCCGCACTTTAGATCTCATTTCAGTATTAACTTCTTCTGTTGTTTTAACAGCCGTTAGTGACCCTTTGTCTCATCTTTGTTCCTCTGTAAGCTTGTGCTGCTGTTTTGTTTATCTCGCAATCGGCTTCACTTTTCTACTATTATGACGAGTTCCTTGTTTCCCGGTGACCCCTTATTCTTTTCCTCCTCCTTTCCACGGCTGTCTGTCAGAAAAGGAAGTCCAGCTCCAGTGTTTGTTTGATGGTGAGATCGGCTCTGTCGTTTTTGTTCATTTCTCATTCTCTGTTTCTCTGGGTCCTTCAGAGGCTTTATTCCCCCCCGGCGCTCCCTCTCTCCTCTCTGTGTCATCTGCTTCTTCTTTTCCCCTTCTGGGCGGAGACGTGTGACGCTTTCCTAACTCCATCCGACATCCCTGCATCCCCTTCTGCCATCAGCAACACCAAAACACATACACACACACACTCTCCCCATTCCAGCTTTCCTCTTCTGGCGTTTACTTACCTAACAGCTCTGACCCTCACAGCACTGAGGGTCATTATAATATAATTCATTATAATATAATGTTATTTTTATATCGCATTCATACTGATCATTATCTGTCATTAAAAACGTTTAGTCGTTACCGTAGATGAAACCAGATGAAACCGACGGATCTACAGATTAGTAACAAATAAGTAACAATAAGTAAAATGCATTGAAACCGTAAGATGATTTTTAGAATTTATTTATTAACCTTTTTGATTAGTTTTCGTGCAACAAAAGCAGCCAAAACTTTAAATCTTTAAAAATTTGGGGAAAAGAACATAACTTTTCACATAAAAGCGGTTTGTAGGATCACAGTGTTTTTTTTAAATAGCACTGAAAATAACACTGAATTGTATCATCGTGTCAATAAATACTGAAAAAGAGCGGAAGAAGATTGTCCATCAAACCAGGAACATTATAGATATCAAAGCCTTAGAAAATAAACAAGCTACGGAAGTCTTATGGCTGCTTCGTAATGCAGATGTTAACTGCACATGTGCTGCGTCGGTCTCAGCGTAGCACGTTTACATTTCTCTTAGTTCTGTTCTGTTTAGATACTTTTTAATGTCACGCAGGGGTATTTGTTCATGTCAGAGTGTTAGAAACGAATCACTGAAACACTTCGTGGGGCTTTGCTTTTAACCTTTCGTCCCTCGTTTGTCCACCTCCTTCATAACTTTATTGTTGGGATACTGATTGGAGGAGCTCTTGGTTCTCCTTCCCCTACAGTGCAGCTCAAACTGTGTTTTCTTGTCCACTTCACTCCGCTGTGTTCCTGCAGAACAAAACCAGACAAATGTGATTGTTTGAGAGAGTTACAAATCCATTCACTGGGATAAACAATTCATTATAACTGTTGTGCGTATGAGGTACTTTTTGTTTTGATTTTCATAAAAGTATTGCATGAATTGCAGAAATCACCGCAGCACATTTCTTCTACCCATTGCAAATGCATCTCAACACCGGCAAATGTAGCGACGCATCATGTCTTCCATTAAATCAAATTATTTCCCAGGAGTGCAGCCAATGAACTCATTCACCAGTTTAATTACAACGTATGTTGTATATACTCACGGTGTACCAGGGACTGTAAGGGTTAGGGGGAACTTAGCGGTTGTAGTCGTGCTAAAGTTGTTTCCTACACTTCATTATTATTATTGTTATTATGGGAATAACATATTGGCGAAAAACCTGTCATCAAGGCCCTTCACTGCATGCACAGACCTCAACTGGTAACCATTATTCTAAAACCAGTTTCTGACTCGGTTTGGCATATTTTGGCTGTGCTTCTGCCAGAAATAGTTTACCGATTTCTGGTGTCTGTTTTAGGTTCGTACTTGATTTTTCTTTAAATCCCCGGGGGGATGTTGGTTCACAAATTTGTAAAAGTGCTGGGAAAATACTTCAAATCTAATCTGAAGACATGTTCACTCTTGTAAAAAAAAAAATGCATGTGCTGAATAACTGTTCTGTATTTTGACTTTTCTTTTAATGTGGTGAATGTCTGCAAAGGTTGTAGACGGTAACTGCAGGAAGACACCAGGACACGCGACTCAGAGCCCTTCGATCACTCCATGCACCACTTCATAGCAGAGAAATGAAGGAGTGGGTTTAGTCAGTCTGTGCACGCACACAGTGGTTTGAGCAGGATTTAAATCTCTAGTTCCTGCTACTTCCTGTTAAATGCACAACAGACGAAGGAGAACACAACATCTGCCCTGTTTGAAGCGCACGAGGCAGCAGGGTTCAGATGATTCACTCAGGTTTCCAAATAAATGCGTTTAGCATTGAACCGCGCTCCCAGATTCTACACGCACAATAAGACCAGGATTCCTGTTGGGCGTGGAACGGCTCGCGTGTCCACCTGGGGGTTCCCATAGGCTGGTTCATGGTCGCGGCCCAGTGGGAGTCATTCTGTGTTGTGTTTCTTTGCTCCAGTCGCAGGGAAACAGTAAAAACAGTGTAGTAAGCAGCAGCAGCACCAAAGACAGCAGCATGTCATCCTCAGCACCAATGGTACCTCATCTCTATTTGGTTTCTCTCACATTGCTTTTGTTTTAAACGGCATCATTTAATCGTTTTCATCTCCTTAATGTTTGGTTCGTTGTGCTTCTCGTCTTTTTGTGTCACACCGTGTGAAGGCAGATCTTTTTTCTTTCCACCTGGTGCTCGCTCTCTCCCTCTCTCTCTCTCTCTCTCTCTCTCTCTCGTGTCTCATCTTCTGCCTCTCTGCTTCCGTTTTGAACACAAACCTTGACATTGGACGTGAATTTGATGACTTTGAAATTGAACGACTGCTTTGTGCCTCCGAGTGTCTCCCCCCGGCTTGTGTTTTACCCAGACGTCCTGTGGACACACTCGTGTGTGTGTGTGTGTGTGTGTGTGTGCATGTATACATTCACGCAGTGACAGGTAGACAAATGGCTTTCATCTGGCGGTACAACAGTAGACACTTTAATCGCGTTCCGCTCAGCCATTTCCTGGTGACTCCTGGCTGATGGTTCGCCTTTTAAGAAGAACAGGTTTGTGTCGACCTGTTGGAGAGCAGAGCTCCACAAAGATTGGACCTCTCCATCATCACGCGAGTGTGTGAATTGTAAACGACGAGGACTTCTGGATAAAACGGGCGCGGGAGTGGACGGGCCACAGAGAGAACATCATAGCAGTGCGAGGATTCGGCCCCTGTGTTCATGTATAAAAAAACAAGCAAAATGTAGCGCTGAGGCAACAGAATTAAGTCACGGATTAGTTCAAATTGTCCAGTTAATCCCACATGTCTTCCAAGGGGCCGGATGTTACCACTGTTGTGTAGTTCCAGGTTGTTTGCATCAGGAGACCGGCGTCTCAGAGTTTGCTTCGCGCCGAGTGTTTCTGCGGCTCGAGGTTGGGGATGAGGAGCGGACGCACAGACGCCACGCGTGTTGCGGCGCTCGTGCCGTGTGGAGTGGAAGGCGTTGATGACAACAAATTCAGAAGCTCGACCTCAGGAGAAAAAAAAAACGCCCTATTTGATCACAGACATTACAAATCAACACACACACTCTGGAGATCAGCAAGTCCAGCAATGACGTCCCCTCCTCCTCAGTCGAAGCCCGAGCCGGGGAACCAGCGGTCAGCTGGTCCACGTTCACCCTGCAGGCCACATCGCTAAGGACGTCCCACTGAGCACCGCGACATCCACACTCATCCAACTGCTCACCATTAATGTGCCTCAGCTTCTCTGCTGTGTTTTGGTGTGCGCGCATGCATCTGTTTTGTGTGTTTTTGTTGTCACTGGGTGTCGATATCCCCCCTCTCCTCCCCCTCACCTCCCCCACTATCACCTCCCTGCATGGTAAAGTGTCTCCTGCCTCCCCCCCAGGAAGCCCAGACTACTGTTGTACACAACCCAGCTGATGGCACCAAGGTAAGCCCCCCTCCTCCCACCACCACGGACCACCAACACTCGCAAGCGGCCCGGGGAGGGTTTTCTCTCCATGTTCCCTGTGCATCTAAAATCGTAATACGAGCTGGGTTCTGTCAGAGAGTCTCGTCTCTTCCTGTTTACTGGCAGTGAGGGTCACTCCCATTTCCACCAGTGGGAAGTTCCACTGTTATGAAGACGCTGGAATAGATTTAGAGTTTGTGTTTTGTTATAATCTGCTAATAGAAAATAATGTTCAGCATGAAACAAAACGGGCAATAAATGTTGAAAATAATAAAAGTTCAGCTGGACCATATGAACACAACTGTTGTTCTTAAATATCAACTGTTTGAATTGTTGAACTTTGGAGAAAAGTCCAATATTTAGGATTTTTTTAATGTTTAATATTTGCATATGGTAAATTAAAAAAATATATTTATATATCAAAATATCACAGATTTGCCTGAGAGGGCTTTGTATTTTACACTATAAGGAAATTTAGTTTCACAAACAGTTGCTTCCTATTAGTCCCACTGGCACAAAATGTTTGCCGCTTGTGTGTGTGTGTGTGTGCGTGTGCGCGGCTCTCTGCGCTTCCCCCCTCGCTGCTGTCCCGGCTGGTCTGTGCTCCTGGGAGGGAGTTGTCCATCTGTCCGTCAGGTTGTCCTCTTGTCCACGTCTGGGCAGGTTGTCCAAAGCGTCCCGACCTCGTCTCCCGCTGTCATGGAAATAGCGACTGGTCCTAATGAATCTTTCCCTCTCGCCCCCCAAACCTCTCTGTCTGACAGGGCTCCACGGAGAGCTGCAACAACGCAGAAGAGGAGGAGATGAAAGGTAGGAAAGGTACTTATCCAGCTTTCACCTTCTCTGCACGTCTCTTTTGTCCCCGTGTTGAACTCTCGATCAGACGGGAAGATTACAATATACTTCGTCACCTCGTAGCTAACGCGCTGGACGCCGGTGTACTCGGACGCATTTGACACGAGGGGTCGGATGTGGTCGATAACAGTCTTGTGAATACCTCTTTTTTCCGTTGTTGGCGTGCGCGAGTGCCACTTAAGCCTTTAGTTACTCGTCTGCTGCTCGGATACGATCGCATTCTCAGTCTGCAGGTGAATGAAGTAGGACAGAGAAACCTCCAGGGAAAAAAAGAGCTAATCCAGTTACTTAAGGCTGCTTTCTGTGGCTTTACCAGCACTTGATCTCATGGTGGATAATCAGCGACAGGCCATCGAGAGGCTGTTCTCTCCCCGAAGCTGAGCGCACTTCTTAATCAGAATCAGAGGCCATTTATTGCCACATATGTTACACATAGAGGAATTTGACTCTGGTGCAATATAAGAATAAAATACAATTGTCCAAGCTGAAGTCAAGCAAAGTTCTCTGGAGTGAGGCGTAGAAGCAACAAGTGGAGTAAGATAAGTATTCCATCCGTTTATGTTGTGCATCTCTTCTATCAACACAGACTGTGTGTCAGTGTCTTAAATATATAAAGTGTGCTGACCTGTGTGCGTCCTTCATGATTGAGAATAAAGCTTCTTAAGGTAATTCAGTGGATCGGATGTGACCTGAGGGACTTTGCTACGTCGGGTTACTGGTTCAGGTTATTTGTTTCTTACTTTCTGGGGTCTGAATCGGCCGATATCGATCATTTGTGTTCTACCTCACCGACCTGTGACGGTGCGGCTTCCGATCAGTGAATGCTGACCATTTCTCTATCGCTTTGTGCATGAAGTGCATCAGAATAGTGTTCAGTGTTCAGTCTCCAAAAGCCCCAAAAGATGTATTTAAACATCTTAAACACACCACGTGGCATTTTTCATCCATCAATTGACCAACTAGTAGCAGCATTAGTCATTCTTACTACTTTTCGTCACCTCCCAGACAAATCAATCGATCAGCTCCCCGATAGAGGAGTGACTCACTGCCGGTGTGTGTGTGTGTGTGTGTCTGTCCTCTGACCGGGACAGTGGCTGCCTGTGAGTCCTCTGGTGCAGTGGTGACCCAGTGCGGCTCCACTGGGCAGCAGACCCACACCGAGCCTCCTCGCTGCTGCCCGCAACCCACCTGTAAGTTCCAGCAGCGGTTTGTCCTGAGTCCTTTCCTCCTCGACTGTCGCCGCTTTATCTTTGTGTCCCGACCTGTAAAAAAACAACAACAACACATGTTCCCTGCGAGAAAACTCGCTCCCTCTCCTCCTCCGCTCCCACCGACTTACTGCACAAAGTTCCCCTCTCTCCTGCTCTGCTGCCGTCTAGTGGCCCCCCAGGCCCGACCACAAGCTGCTGTCTGCCTGCGGCCTAATTTCCCCACAATAACCTCCTCGTATCCTTCCCGCGTGTAGTCGCACCGCAGCTCAACATCCCTTCTGTCTCAGCGGGGTCACCGGGGTCACCGCGCCCGCCCGCGGCTGCTGCCCCGCAGGAGGCTGCCGGTGTCCCTCAGCCCGGGCCGGCTCAGAGCGCCGGTCCTGGTCCCGGACCAGAGTGCGCTCTGGCGCCCCCCGCGGGCGCGAGCCGCGGCCCGCGGCAGAGTAAGTGCCGGGGCAGAGTTGTGCGGGGTTGTGCGGTGCTTGTGCGACGGCTCGCGAAGCCGTGTTCATACCCGGCGTTCTGACTTTCTGACGGCAGGAAGTTGGAGGGGCTCATGAACACAGAGTCACATGCCGGTGTGGAGGATTTGCTGGCGGAGCTTTTCAGGCTCCGCGGCCGCATGTGGAGTGTGTACGCATGCAGTTTGTGCATTTCTGGTGGGATGTTTTGCAAAGGAAATTATGCCAATTTCTCAGAATTTCTTTGGTGTGAATTCTTGCCACATTCTCTGAATTCCTCCTGTATAATAGCAGTTTTAAGAAGATGAAGTGAAGAGGATTTCATTGACGTGTGTGTGTGTGAGTGTGTGTGTGTGTGTGTGTGTGTGTGTGTGTGTGTGTGTGTGTGTGTGTGTGTGTGTGTGTCTGTGTGTGTCCATGTCAATATCAACACAGTGAAATCAATTGAGTTGCAGAGTTGTGAGCAGTCATCTTAGTATTTACATTTATTTGAATGTTCTTCTCAATCATTTGTTAGCAAAGAATATCTTCAAAATTAACCTGAAAGAAAAAAATGAAGTGATCGGGTCACATGGTGGTTAAAATGATTATTCGACTCAGCTGATAACTACTGATGGACACTGACCTCACGCATCATCGCAGGAAGGACGACGGCCGGCCCGCGGTCCTCTCCAGATGTTAGTGGCCAACTAAGAAATGTGAAGAAAAACATCTGTTTGTTTCTGTGATGTGGTGTTTTATTTGGATGTTGTGTTGTGTACGGGGGGGACTTCCGATGTCACTGTCAGAGCCCCCCCGTCCCGTCCCGTCCCGCGGTCTTAAACCTCTTCTCATTGTCTCCTTCCTCCGTCTCTATTTTCAGCTCGTAAACAGGAGATAATAAAGATGACGGAGCAGCTGATTGAAGCCATCAACAATGGGGATTTTGAGGCCTACACGTACGTGCGCGCACGCGATTGAAACAACACAAGTGGTCATAAAACACGGGTCTGGCTGTAAAAGCATTTAGTTTGGGATTGAAGGTGCGTCTGTCCTCTGCCAGGAGGATCTGTGACCCCGGACTGACTTCTTTTGAGCCGGAAGCTCTCGGGAACCTGGTGGAGGGAATGGACTTCCACAAGTTCTACTTTGACAACCGTAAGTTGTATTCTCTATTTTCATCATGTGAATTAAAACAACCCCAATCATCTACATTTGTGAGATTTAGTTGCAACCAACTGATTCTTTTTTTTTTATTTATCAATCAATCGGCCGAGAGGTGCCGAGTTCGCTAACATACACGACCTCGGGAAACAAGTTGCATCTGTCCGCTCACCTCCTAAACGCCTCCGTGTGTCCACACCGCGTGTCGTGCGTCGACCACGCGGAGCGCTCTCATATCTGGTCGCCCGATTGCCACCAGAGGTCCGTTTACGACTGCTGAGCTGCACGTTTGCGTCCCCACAGTGCTGAGTAAAAACAGCAAGCCGGTGCACACCACCATCCTCAACCCCCACGTGCACCTGATCGGCGAGGAGGCCGCCTGCATCGCTTACATCCGCCTGACGCAGTACATGGACGCCCAGGGCCGGCCGCGATCCTGCCAGTCCGAGGAGACGCGCGTGTGGCACCGCCGCGACGCCAAGTGGCTCAACGTGCACTTCCACTGCTCAGGAGCACCGGCCGCCCCCCTGCAGTGAACCCAGAACCCAGAACCCGGGCCCAGGTAGGCCGGCGCCTCACTGACACCGGGGGCGTTGTAAGCAAACGCCAAAGGCTTTTTTTATGTACTCATGTCATGCTATACAGTTTGAGACTTTTATAACACATTTATGACCAAATATACCAGGTCTTTGTTTTTTATTTTCCTAAGTTTGTCCTTTTCTGAACATATTCATAAAAATAAACGTAATATACTACACGTTTAGTTTTTTAACACAGTTTTGTAACATTTTTTAGACATTTTACTATTTATGGCTTTTATTTTACTGAGGTACAATATTACCTTTCAATTTTTTTTTCGACGGACAATACTTTTTCTACATACTATTCTCGGACATATTACTACTTTTCACTTTACTTTTTTTCTTCTCATTATACTATATTTCAACGTGCTACAGTGACATTTTCATACATACTATAACTTTTCAATGATTTTTTATGCTGTACAATGACTTTAATTAGAAGACTTCATTTCAACGCCATGAATTTCTTTTGTAAACAGTTTTTTTGTTCCCATCATTTTCTTTCAACCATCCAGCACCGATATCACCAGTTCTCCCACTAATCTTTACGTTCTCTCCTCTGCAGCTTTGCCTGATCTCTAAAGCTGTTTGGAGCTTTCATCTCCGTGGTCGGATCGGTGCCTGGATCACGACACGGAAGAAGCTGCTTGGAAAAGTTGTGGGAAAAAGAAAAAAAAAAAAAGATAGAAGTGAGGGAAAATACATTTATAAATTAAACAAAAAAATAAGAAGCTTATTTCCAAAGCTTGCCTGAATGACCGATCACACCGATCCAGTCCAACCCTTCGCCACGTGGCGTCCGGCCCGCCGCAGGTCAGCCCCCTTCTGGCAGACGCTGCATGTTTCTGGTCGTTGTCCCGGGACGCGTCGCCCGTGGCCTTTATTTCCCCACTTGTTGTGTCTGCTGTCGGGAAAAGTATTAAAACTGGTATATAAATAGGGGGCAACATGTATAATATAGGAAACATGTGATTTTATGTTTTGTTTCCTAGAGAGCAACATATTACTGTTTATTTTACACTTCACGGGGTTCGTTTGATTCGGGTTTATGGGAACTATAGCGACTAATATCAATGTGCAATCAGATTTTAACATTTATTTTAAATCGCATCCGTGCACAACGTTTTAAAGGGGAAGTTGCAAAAGGATGGATCTCACTCAAAAAGGGGACGTTTAGTTTGATAGAATTCAGCATAAATAGGTGTTTATTACAGGAGAAAAGGGGAAACATGATATATTTTACGGTTAAGCATGTGTTGTTTTTTATTCTTTTTTTTTTTTTTTGCCTTGAGGTCCCGAGTTGTAAATACACACCATGCATGTTTGCATGGACGCACACACACACACACATTCCAGGTCCCTGTGCTCCAGCCTTTAGGGTTAAGCCTCTCTGGAGCTTTAGACACAGCATGTGTCCGGGGGCAGCTCATCCTGAGGTTGCAGAAAGCCTCCCGTCTGACCTGCCCCCTCCTCCTCACGTCTCCAAACCCGACGTGCAGCTTCATCTTCTTCAATCGATCGAATGGCCCGTACTGTTTTTTTGACACTCTATGCTGTTGTGTTCGCTCTCCGGAGGGAGCGAACCTTTCTGCAACCTCAGGTTTACCCCCCCCCCCCACCCTCCTCGTCCTCCGCTTAAAGCCCCCTTACTGTCCAAGTAGCAGCTCGCTGTGTAACGATGATGTCACCCTTATGCCTGTCTCTTGTTGGGATTGTGTTCTGAAAATGTGCGTGTCGTCCGTCTTGGCTTGCTGTGTAAAGTCTTGGAATTATAAAAAAAAAAAAAAAACTTTAAACAAAAACTTTAAAAAGCATGTTAAAAAGGGAATGCAGCCGAAGGATTATACAAAAAAAGGGCATGATGGGATTTGGGCTGTGGGACTGTCGCTGATGGCAATCAATGGATCCGGTCCTTTTGTGTCCGTCGTAAATGTGATGGTTATTACTGTTTTGATGTTATTTTTAATAGTTGTTTTAGCCAGAAATGTAAGAACAATTTGGGAGACTGCCACAACCATTTTTTACTGCCAACCCCCCCTCACACGCACACTGACATCTTGAGACAAAACATGTTTTACACTCTGTGGCTGATAATGAGGACGCTTATCTGTCTGTCTTAGCACTTAGTGAATAAATGGTCCTGCATCTCCAACCTTTGTGACGTCGCCCCCCCACGAGGAGGCCGTAGCTGCTCGTCACTTAAAGGTGATGAGTTGTTGCCCGACGGCAGCACTGTGGAGCAAAGTGCTTCCTGCTAAAGGTCACTCAGACTTCTAAACCATGTTCTTGACTTTTTTTAACTGGCCGATGATCAGACATCTTGGTCATCGATCCAAATTTGTGAACCTAACAAAACCAATTTTTTAATTTTCTAGATAATTTCAAAGATGTCAAATCAAATTCTGAAGGAGGCTTCAACATTTTAGTGCAACACGTTCAGTGGCATTTAAATGTCCTGCAGTTAGAAGTTGTCACAATTGTTTATTTGCAGTTAGTGACCTCTGCTTCAGCTAAAGAGGAATGGAATCCGTTGTAACGTCACAGCTATTTAACGCGGATGTAAACAAGACGAGTGACCAAATAAAAGCACCTTCACGTTAACTTTGGGCTGTTTGCTGCTACGACAATAACTCTGTTTTGCTTCATGTACAATTTCGTAGTTCTAATAATTTGGCAAAAGTCGAACAGAACCCGACTGATCCGAGGGGAGGAAAAGATCATTGGAATTAAAAACCACAACTTTTAACACCTTACATGCAGGTCGACTTTGAGGTCATTTTTCAGTTTTCTGGATAAATGAAAATCTTACTTGATGACGTGGCTCCATCTGACATATCAAAATGTTGTCTCACAGTAAAATGATTAGAAAAAAAGCCTTAGCGTGTAAGTAGGTTTATTGCATTGCAGCCCTTGGTCTAAAGGGGCTACGTGTGTCTATACTCGTTTTCATTTGGATGCTGGATTCTTTGCATGATCATACAGTTAAAACATTAAAAACCACAAGGTGTTTGTTTGCATATAAATAAATGAGTATTTATCAAATAAAGCACTTCAACACTGGTGTCCCTTTCTCTCAAGTTGCTGTTGAAAAATTGTACTGTGATTGGAGGCAGTAAGTTGAATGCAAACTACATTTAGATAGTAATTTTGTTGGCTTTATTTTAAAAGGATTACATTTTATTAGTACAAGCCGCAGTACCGATAGTCTCCTCTGGGCAGTGCCAAAAACCCAACACATCCACCAAACCTTACAAAGCAGTAGAACTTTAATTCATGGACGATCTGGGTTCATTTAGAACGATTCGATTGATTGACTTAAGATCGATTCAGTAACAACTGGACAGTGCAGGCAAAGTTTGAGATCCCTGTTTCTTGTAAGGAAATCTGGTTTAAATTAATTATGGATATTATAAATGTAACAGGTGTTTGACTCCACTTGCCATCGCTAAGAGTCATGACAGGGTGTCACGTGGGTGCCCTCTAGTGGGTCCCTGCGGACGTGGGTGCGACACCCTGTAGCTAAAAAATTAGTCTGCTGCAGGGTGTGTAACTGGTAAGTTGGCTGTAGAAAGTCCCCTTAAAAAGGCTAATGCTAAATTCAACTAGCTCATGTGTTTCATTCTGTTTGGCAGTTATGATGCCACAAGGTTCCTTCTGAGGACTTAACTTGTGTGTGTTCGCCAGGTGTCTTAACGTCACACAATAAACGGCCGATACGAGCCGAATGTGGTCCGTGTCCTGGTGGTGATTTTAACAACACAACGCAAGAAAGAGTACAACCGCTACATAAACAAGCAAACTATTAATGGCAAATGTATTAACCTTTTATTTGAATCAATAAATCAATTTATTTGAGTTTCGCGCGGCTGCCGCTGCGTACTGATGACGTCACAGACAGGCAGACTGAATCGAGTAACGTTTAACGCGTCTAAAGTGCTAAAAAACAAACTAACACACATCCATACAGTTGTTGTGCTTAAATCAAATGTGCAATTTACAAGCATCGATACGATCTATTATGTACCATTTCAAATCGATATATGTTGTCCGGAATGCCGATTTGCGGAGCACAGATCGATTCAGTTGGATCGCAGGAATATAAATCGATTAATTGATTCAGTGAATGAATCGTTACACCCCTAATTAAAAGTGTAAAACGGTACTGTACAGGTGCAGCTAATGGACCGACAGCGTATTACATAAATCCCTGCTTCACACTTCAGTTTGTTCTCCAAAGCAAACGTGTCTTATAGTTATAGTATTAAAAGAGAAAAAAATACAATTTCCACTCTGCAGAGTAAACTTGGTTCCTGTAAATGACATTTTGATTCTCCGCGTAAGAAACACAAAAGAGCCACGTGGAAGTCTTGATGAATTTTAATTACATCAAATGGGGTTCATTTAAAAAGTGGAAAAAGAGGAAAACAGGGTTTCATCATCACTGTCGCGTTCAACACAGCAACAGAAATCTGCACGTAGTGGGTGGGTGGGGTCAGGGGGGGTCACAGGTCACCTACACTCTCAGGAAGTAGACACACGGCGCTGTCTAAGTTATTCTCCTCTCCAGAGCCAGAAGCGACAGATGATCAATTCAATGCTATAGGATTTAAGCTAGGATGAACAGTGTGTGTGTGCGTGCGTGTGCGTGTGTGTGTTGTGGCATGTGTGTTGTGGCATGAGCCACGGCTGCCAGCCAGAGGTGACCTGGAACTCTCCCGTGATTAGTGTCTCTCTCAGTTCACGCAACCGTCACTCCTGATTGGCGGGAAACGGACGCCGATCGCACACAACGGTCATGGCTTTACGTCCGAGTCCATTTGCTAAATCACCACTGATCGCCGCCGTCCTCTCTGATTGGTCGAGGGGGAGGCGGGAGGGATTGGTTGATTGCTCCATGCAGATTGGGACTAATTTGTTCCGATGAGGGTGTCGAGTCTGTAACGTTTGGTGCAGACACCCTACGAAAATGTTTTATTTTTTCGAGCCCCACAAAGCCGACGCCTTCTTCGTCCACGCTGCCCGTTCGCCAAAAATACTTTTCCACGATGGAGCTTCTGGTCACACAGAAGCCGCGGGTCCGCTTTGGCTGATGCGTGGACCTTCGGTCCGCGGGGACCAGCGCACATGGAGCAGTCTGTCACACGCGGTGCAATCTGCCACAGCTTCAGTCTTTGTAGCACACAACAACAACTAAAATAAACACCACATGGACATTTTCTAGGATTGTTCGGTTTTCCTTGATTCAAGGAAGAAAAACAAAACAGAAGGAAGCCACGTTTCTCTACTGAAGCGTCCCGGCGGTTTTGGAACCAACAGAAGGGAAGAAAAAGCAAACGGGCAGATACAATCTTTTCTCACTGTAGACGGTCTCAGCAGAGTTACTCTACGAGGCTTCAGACAGCTCCAAGGCCACCGTTCTCTCTGAGTCGCAGGCCGGCGCACACGAGTGAAGAGAGCAGAAGAAGAAACACACAGATTAGAGACGGGAGAGGAAGAGTTGAAAGAAGCAAAAGAGGAAACAACACGGACGGAAAAGAGAAACATGGAGATTTAAAGTCAGAAACTGTATCAAGATTACAGTGACGTAGCCGAGGAGACGGAGGGAAGCAGCCGGCCTGGATCTGCATGCATTGTCAAGGGAAAAATATGAGGGGGGGGGCGGCGAGGGGCACTGAGGCCATGCAGCAACAACGAGCAGCCTGACAGCAGCGAAGGGACCTTTGCTCCACCGTCGGAAACGCTCGGCCCCCTTCGGCAGCAACACGTCGTGGGGAGTCTTCACACAACTTGTTTTATTTGGGGGGGGGGGTTGTGACACACACACAGGCAAGGGTTCATCCACTGGGAGCGCCATGGCTAACCCTCCCATATGCCATGCAGGCCGCGCTGCCATTGGGCTCCGGGAACAGGCGATTGGCACCGCAGGGACGGGAAAGCGACGGACAGGACGGGGGGGGGGGGTCACAGAAGCAGGGAAGCAAGTGCATGGCAGGATGGACGACATCTGTTCACCATGTTTTAGGTTCCCGTTGGAGACCCGAACCTCCACCCCACCCCACCCCCACCCCTCCCCCTGCTGGAGCAGCACTCACTCACCACGCGCTCGCAGCATTGAAGCGGACAGACGAGGGGGGAGGGTGGGGGGGGGTGCTGGAGGCGGGGTTTAGCAGCTTTGCTGCGGCTCCCCGCTCCTGCTTTTAGACTTTCTGCCCTCCACATCTGTAGGACAAAGGCAACGATTACATCGGTAGACAGCGACGCGCCGTCCACCTCACAGCTGCATTTACACAAACACATTAAAGCCACTTCAAACCGGCAAGTGCAGAAATAAATAAGGATGGAGGGGTACCGGCACGTCGGGCTGCGCTCCTCTTTGATTATAACTTAATGATTACAACATTCCGCCAGTCTAGAAAACATAATCAGATATCAGCTGTTTAAATAAAAACAAAAAGAAATATCCAGATACCAAAAGTAATGATGTTAGCTTCATTCCCAAAACAATCTGACAAATGAAAACTGTGCTTACTTCCTGTTTCATAAACTCCACCAAAGGACGACCGAGACTAAAATATGGTAATTGACCACGTCGTCCTCGTCCTCCTCCACCTTCAGCTTCCACTTAACCAACTACACCTTCCCTCAGACTATTTTAGGAACGAAGCTTCATCATTTTGTCTCCAGCCCGAGATGTCTGTTAAGACCCACTGTCCCATTAATAATAACAATAATAATAATACAGACAAAAGGTGTCAAATGTACAGAAACACACCACATCTATACAAACAGAAGGTCAACATGACGACCATTTTGATCACAACAATCAAAATGAGAGTTCCAGGTTGGACAGAACATGCAGCTTAGTGGGTGATGCAACAGAGTTAAAGAAGCAGTAAAAAGGACCCAGAAACCATCAAGACATCATGAACACAAAGTGGATAGTGGATCTATTATCTGACACTGAAAAAAAAAAAAATCGGGCTTTGGATTTGTAACCCAGACATTGCGGCTACGAGCCGCGTCCCACATGGCGGCCCCAGAGAGCTGCAGATAATAGTAGTGTTAGCCAGGGACACGGACCTGATGAGGAAACAAAAAACATGGCCGACGGATGAAAGAAACATTCATCAGAGTCCCACCTCAGGAAAAAGAACAAAAATAAAAATGAATCCACCAATCGGCACAGTGACAAACAGAAAAGCACCACACACATACACCACGTGGAGGTGGTGCCCCAATAAATACATGCAGAGGAGCTCCTCCTCCTTTCACCCTTTCAGTTTGGTACCAACGAGCCAGAACCCGCCTGTCACTCACACACAGCCGTACTCGTACCACAGAGACTGCTTGTCCTCTGGGCTCAGGGACTCGTCCTCCTTATTCACACAACTCGGATCGGCGCCCCCGCTGGACTCTTTCAGACCGGCCGGGCCGTTTGATTGGCTGAAAGGGTCCTGGTTTTGGGTGGGTGTGTGATTGGGGATGGGAGGAGGAGGGGGGTGCGTTTTACTCGTAACGGGAGGCCCGCTGATGTTGCTGACTAGGGTGGGGTTCAGAGACAGGAAGGGGTGGTTTTTGCCCAGCGACTCACTAAAGATGGAGTCCATGAAGACGGACTCCACGGTGAAGGAGGGGCCCAGGAAGGACTCCAGGGTGGAGAGGTCTGGATCCTCCGAGCTACGGCAGGGCAGGCTGAGTGACTTTGGCAGGGGGGTGGCGGCGGTAAGGGGTCCCTTTAGGTCGGCGCGGTACTCACTGGCTGTCGGCTGGGAGCGCACCCCGGCCTTGGCGGCGGGAGGGGGAGGAGCCGCGTCGACGGACACCGGGGGCCGGTGGTCCTTTGACAGCAGGTCGTGGATGCTGGTGCGCCGCGTGGTGCCCTCGGCGGTGGAGATGACGCTGCTGGCGCGGGGCAGCGTGGAGGAGGCCAGGTCCAGGCGCCCCGACACCGACGTGGCTTTGCTCTGGGACGACAGGCCGGAGCGCGCCGGGACCGAGCCCCTGACGCGGGTGCTCTCCGCCTTGCGCAGGGTGGGGCGACCCGGTTGCCCGGCGGCCCGGGGAAGGCGGTCCGAGGCGACCGGCGCCGCCCGCCTCGCAGAAGGAAAACAGTACTCATAGGGTCTTTGTGTGTTCTTTCGGCTAGAGAGAGAAGTGAGAGGCAAGGGGTGTCGGCGCTGAGGTTTCTCCTGACGCCCTATTGAGGTCGAGAGAAGAGAATCGCGGTCAGGTTCACCCCCCCCCCCGGTTCAACAGCGACACCATATCACAGCAAGCCTTTTCTCATATGGGATTATTATTATATTCCTCAGGATGAATGAAAAATCAAACGTTATCGTTTTCATTTTTAGAATTGCCCAAAATGTTCAGGTTGGAGGTTTTTTCCAAAACAGGAAAATTAAAAATGGGCTCTGAAAATAATCATGATGAAGAAGTGAATTCTTAATTTTATTTAAACCCGGTTTTACAGAAAAAATGAGCAGATTCTGAATGACTGAGGACGGGGAAGAGAAACGGGGTCAGGTTCAGCCCCCCCCGGTTCAACAGCGACACCATCTCACAGCAAGCCTTTTCTCATATGGGATTTTTATTCTATTCCTCAGGACGAATGAAAAATGAAACGTTATCGTTTTCATTTTTAGAATTGCCCAAAATGTTCAGGTTGGAGGTTTTTTCCAAAACAGGAAAATTAAAAATGGGCTCTGAAAATAATCATGATGAAGAAGTGAATTCTTAATTTTATTTAAACCCGGTTTTACAGAAAAAATGAGCAGATTCTGAATGACTGAATGAATCCGGCAGGTTCATAACTGGGAATGTTTTTTCACCTCTGCAGGATCGATGCCCTCATCCAGGAACTGCTGCAGGGACAGCACCTCCTTCACCGGGGATCCCGCTTTCGCCGCCTGGGTCGGGCCGGCGCAGCCCGCGGCTGCAGACGGGTCAAGGGTCCTGCGCAGCTGCAGGGGGCTCTGGTGGGAGGAGCGCGAGGAGGTGGGCTGCTGCACGGGGCTGCTGCCGCTGCTGGACCACACCTCCGGGTCCAAGCTCAGGCTGAACTCTCCGCTGCTCTCGCTGTGAGGCCGGCTGAGGCTGCCGTTCAACGCGCCTGAGAGGCGCGGAGGCGGAGCGGCTGGGGAAAAAGCGGCTCTCCGGGGAGAGAACCTGGATTTATTTGACTTTTTCGGCCGAGGAGACACAGATAACCTCTTCCTAATTCACTAAAGGGGGATAATAGTAGTAAAGCACTAATACGCAGCTTATCAATCATTCATAGCTGAATGGTGGAGCTCTCTTCATGATGCACTGATGGTGCTTTAAAGGTTCAATAAGCTGAAATTACAATCAGAACTTTTCTACCCAATCAGTGTCAGTGTCAGTAAAACATAAACATGAAATGTTGTTAGCAACCAGCTCTGAAGCCATTGCATCCTGATGTATTGGTTTAGAATAAGACAAAAAGTAACACGGAACTTTTAAAATCAGACTCCACATTGACGTAGGTCGAGTAAAGGCACGAGGGAAACACATAAAGGGAGCAAAGGAGCAAAGCGAGATTGGTTAGTTGGGGGGAGGAAAGGGGTCAGTGGAAGGAGGAGCATACCTTTGCCCTCCAGAGGAGAAGTGAGGTGGGAGTTATTGTTACTATTACTACTGATGGTCCTGTTGCTATGGAGACTGGTGGGTCTGCAGGCTGGGTAAGGGACAAGAGGGAGTACACACATATTCACACACAGTTAGAATATACATACATATACACTTACATGAATCCACACAGACATGCACCAAGACAGAGTAACACGTAGGTGGGACAGTTTGACAGAACGTCTCCTGCTGGGCCGGCAGATGGCACATGCCAGGCAGAGGGACAGGAAGGGTGGCTCGGTGCCAGGCTGCAGCATCAACATGTCCAGTCAGTAAACAAAGTGACGCCTGACGGAGAGGACCGACCCACCTCGGTGGAAGAGGGGAACCGATAGCGGAATTAAGGGGGAGGAGGAATTAAGAAAGAGAAGAAGGAGGTGTGACATTGTGACCTTGCTCCTCCCACTTTGAGCTGGAATCTGAGCACCGTGGAATCATTTTAACTGGCTTTCAGCACAGCGGTGATCAGCATTTGAAACATCACGATTACATCACTGATCATTCGTCAGGGTTCTCATCGCGTCTAGGAAACCAGCCCTTAGAGGGATCCAGGGGTCCAGTGCCGAGTAGTGTTCACTTTTACAACAGACGCTCAGCTCAACGGGAGAAGGACACAGAGTACCGCTGTGCACCTGCAGGCCTGATCAACACACACACACACACACACGTGTTTGAAGTATACATCAAAGCGCAAAGGTTTAATATCTAATATAGCTGCCCGGGTCCGTGTCGCTCTGAAAGCCCAGCTGGTGTTAAGACGCTGCGGCAGTTTATTAGCCTTTCTCTTTTCAAGTAAGTAAGGTCAAGCCTTACCGTGGCTCTTGGGGTCGTCGAAGGAGCCGGTCACGTCTTCACAGGAGGCGTTGTCTGTTGGGACACAGAAGAGAGGTGCTACAGCTGCATCGATGGAGCAGAATGTCGACACCTTCATGCGAAATGAGTCCAGCCTAATAAGTTAGAAACTCCAAAAACACAAATTCTGAGTGTGCCGGTTTCTCCCGGAGTCCTGACCTTTGACCTGGAGCCGGAGCTTGGCCCTGCGATGCCCGGGCGTGGGCAGGGTGAGGGCGGCACAGTCGATGGCGTTGGTGGAAAAGGCGAGATCCTTCATGCGCCGCCCGCTGCGCCCTCTGCTCGCGGCCACGACGGCGTCTCCGGCCTCAGCGCCGTCCAGGTTGTCGATGCTGCTCGCCCATTGGCCGTCGGGATCGCCCGCCACCGCCATGGTCTGCAGCAGGTCATTCATGGCTGAGTGGACCAACGGAGGGACGGCAATTAGGGTCGCGGCAGGAACATCGGGCATCCAGCCCAACAGAGAACTGTTCACTTCGACTGAACGACAGTTGGGACGTAGCACGGCTTAGCTTAAATAATAGTGTCACACAGCCCTCATTTGGATTGCAGCTACTTACATATAGGCTTCTAGCGCAAGTAGTTTTCCACCACAAAAGCTTCAAAAGGATCCAAAGAGATTGTCAAAAGATCTATTTAATATTCAGTGAAACATTTATTTTGTTGAATAAAATCTAGTCGTTTTGGAAATCAAGGCACGCATATGGTATCAAAATATACAATAAAGATCTATGCCCCAAAGTGCATAGAGATGGTAGCTGCACAGTGGCCACTGTCCTTGTGCACTTTGTTTATGTGACAGTAGAGAAGCATGAAGGCATGCAGAGCAGCTGTGAGCAGCAGCCGAGTCCATGTCAGCAGAATAAGACCTGAAATGCAGCACGGCGGCAGAGGAAGAGTGAAGGAGTGAGAGAGGAAGAGTGTACGGCTCCATTTCAAGTCCTCCATGGTGAGTGCGAGTCAGGGGGATAAGGCGGTTGCTGATTTTGTTTTCTTATTTCAAGGCATGCTGCGATCAAAGATGGAGGCAAACAGGCACATGAAAAGCAAACCCGCAGTCTCTCTGGCCTGACCGCCCTCCCTCACCCAGCCAGCAAACACACAAACACGCTCAGCGTCCAAATTAAACCACACAGCACACGACAAAGCTGCCCGGTTGGTTGCCTGTTGCGTAACGACTCCCACCGTGACCAAACCGGTGGATGAGACACACACACACACGGGACCGAGAGAGACACGAACGAGCGTCACACAACAAGGCGGACAGCCACAGAGAGATGGATTTCTTACTGTCACATCAGCCCTAATTTCTTCTGTCACCAATCACATCCTATTTATTTTGTGCATCTTTTCTGAAGTTTGCACTAATCACTTGTGTGCTAATAGTGAGAACAAAACGACACTAGAGTCTGCTGAGAGCAGATACTCTACAGCAGGGGGGTGGAGGTGGCAGACGCAGGGCGGAGGAGGTGACGGAGAGTCAGGGGCTACTAGACAAAAAGAACCAGAAGGACAAGTCACTGAGGTCACCAGATGCAGCAGCGTGGGGGCACATTTTGAACTGAAATCTACATTAATAACATCAAATAATCTCGGTTACATTTGAACCACTTCACAGTGAGGCTGAAAGACGAGACGGCCACGCAGCTGCGGCGTGAAATCAGTGACTGTTCCTTCTTTGTTTTTCCTCGGGTGGAGAGGAGAGGGGAGGCGGGCAGAGGGAGGCTAGCGCGGCGGCGGCTAACGGGGAGGTCTTACACATGGAGCGCCGGTAGATGGCCTTGGCCTTGTCTTTGTCCTTGGATCTGTTCCTCATGAAAGGCAACCTTTTTAAAGCTGTCGAGAGCGCAGCCAGAGACGGGACGGACGGACGGCCAGGGGGGGAAGAGGGGGGGGCAGTCGAACGGGGAAAGAAAAACAAAAGAGAAAAAAAAAAGGGAAGAGGGCACAACAGAGGGACGTGGTTAATGTTGTCACAAAGAGCCGAGGGGAGAGATGCAGAGAGAGAGTTGAGCACCTGGACAACAGACACACAATCAATGCAGTAGACACAACCACTACAATATAGGACTCACAACAAGGGGTGGATCATACCGTTACAGAGCATATTGCTTGTTTAATGTTGAGGTCTTGAAAACAGTTTGGTTTGTTTTTTTGACAAGCATTATTAATACCTGTTATTTAGTGTATTATTTATTTAGTTAAAACATTCAAATGCTTGTTTTAAGAGCTTTTAGAATGGACTGAAATGCCTCCCACACACTTTAAATCCTGAATAATGCTTTTGAGGGAAGACTTAAAAAGAAACAAACACATATACACATTATTCAAATGCCTTCTCTCACACACACACACACACACACACACACGCACACACACACACACACACACACACACACACACACACACACACACATTATATCTGCACTCAACAACACACACAAGCACTCTCACTTTGATGGTCACGAGCGTCGTATCCTGCATTGCATGGTGCACACAACAACACAACTGTCACCACATTAACACCTACACGAAACACGGAGGATGAAGAATATTAAACGGTGCAATGGGGAGAATGTGAATGTCAGCGGGCGGCATCGGGGAGGACGGCACTGCTTCCAGAGACATGAGGAACTCTATTGTTGAATACCTCACTGTGTGCCGTCATTGGTACACGTCTTCATGTTCGTTTAAACGAATACATATTTTCACTTTTGTAAAAGCAACCTACTGGATGATCTGATGACATCGCCTACTACCGTACAACCTGTTATCATTAATTGCATCTTCAACCAGATCCAGACAACCAGGATTGGTACCCGCGTTGACTGAACGTCGGCCACAATGCATTGCACCTTTTAATAGCTCGGATGCTACGTTTAGAGGGCGTTTCTTTATTTACAGATGAACTGCACAGATCAGCAGGTTGACATTCTGAAACTACGAGCTAATGAGCCTCGGACTGTGAGGTGCGCTTGATTCCTCACATGTATACACTGTTGAAATAGTAGTCCCCTGATCCACATGTTTAACACACCTGCCAACCGGGGCCCTACATTACCCACAATGCAAATAGACTGCAGACCGGGGAAAGATGCAGTGCGGTTGCGTAACGCTAGTGTAGCGTGTTTAATGATACGGTTACAGAAATCAAGCGCACCCACTGTTCAAATACAGGAAGCGGGTCCACTCCTCGAACCGGGTCAGAGACTGAGAGTCAACCTCGTGTTGCTGCACAGCTCAGCCGTAACCTCTAGGACAGCTGAGTGAAACAGACGATGGACTCACGAAAACATGCCCCGAGAGACGCGACAGTGGGGTCACAAACCCCGCCCACCCGCCCCATCCGCACCATACCATTGGTGGAACCCTGCACCTGGGCAGGGGGCTGCTGCCCTCTCCTCCCTTCGCAGAGAGAGGAATAAAGAAGCAAAGGAGCAGTTAGGGGAGGAAAGACCCATTCAACCACTCAACCAGCACAAACCAACACACACACACACATAAGTAGCAGTGTGTTTCGTGACGTATTATTATGAGTTTGTGTGAAATATTGTGAGTATTTGATCAGATGTATGTTTACGGTGCTTTGTCTGGTTGGATGAGTGTTTATTTTTAGGCATTTAACTTGATTCATGTGAGACAAGTGGCTGTAAATAGATTGTTGGGTCTACATCGGTGTGTTTATCGGCCGGTCGGTGTTTTTCTTTGCACTCACTGCTGCTCTTCTTTTGTGTCAGCGTGTCGTCCAGCGAGTTGGACCCAGAGCCGATGGACGAGCTGTCCTGGCTGTCCTGGGGGAACGTCAGGAAACCGTCGCCGGACTCTGAACGAGAGGGCGTCAGCGTGAGAGAGCGCATCCTCTCCCGGCTCTTCGGCTTGATCAACTTCCTCATCTTCAAAGTGATCCAGTTGCCACGCCTGCAAAAAAAGGAGAGACGAGATGACGGTCAGTGAGACGGAGAGACCGTCAGGAACAATAGTGTTTCCTCTCTTACTGTTACTCTAAATCTTCCCATGAATGTTTCTGGTAGTCAGCATCTAAAAGCTCTGCAGGCCATGAATATTTAATGCATCTTCGCCTGAGGCTGCAGTGGGAGCTTTTTTCTGCCGTTCCCTCGCCCCAAAGATAAGAGCCAACAAGCAAACCGAATTCTCAAGATCAGAGCCCGATATGATACACCGACTTGATGGAGTAGCTCATATTCAGACATGCGCCATTTTTACATTGAGATCACGTTGACACAAAATCGTGTGAGAAGCTGTAGTTTTTCTTTTACCTGCGTGGAGGTGAGGGGTCGTAAAACTTGTACTGGTCCATGATCTTCTCCTCCAGCTTCTCCTTCTGTCTCCTCAGCTCATTCAGCTTGTCTCTGATTGGTGGAGAATTGAGAGATGATCCACAAAAACATACAAGAACAAAGTCCAAATGTGCAATCCAAATAGAAATGCAAACAATCGGTTTTGAATAAATAATTGCGGACAGGGAGGCGATCGCTGACAGGAAAGTCGTCATCAGGGGTTTACATGTATTGTCTTTGCTCGACGTGGAACAGGTCCTTGCTCTCCATGGTCTGCTCCAACAGAGTGCGATTCTGCAGCATCAGAGTCTGGATCTGGTCCAAAAGGTGGCGATTCTCCTCCTCTAGGTTTCCTTTGAGCTGGCTCAACAACTAACACACACACGCACACACACATAGCTATGTTAAAGGGATGCAAAGACACCTGGCTTAACAACAAGGTAAACCCACCAAATGACAGCGGTTTTTCAAAGTAGCCCACAAACACATTATGACAGAGAAGGGAGGATCAATGTCTCCTCACCTCGCACTGATTGGTGAGCTTGGTTGAGGTGATGTCCAGCTGCTGGTACTGCTCCTTCAGTTTAGAGAATTCAGCCTCCAGCTTGGTCTGGTCCAGCTTGGCGCCGTTCAGCTGAGTCTTCACATTCTTATGGTCCAGTTGGAGATTGTCGTTGTCTTTCACCAGCTGACGATAGGTATTATTCAGCCTGAGGAGAGAGCGGAATTAAACATACAGACACAACATTTAGTGTAATTCAATCCACTCATTGACATGTGTTTTACTCATTAGATTTGAATAGTTAATAACTATCGAAACAGGCCGAGCTGACCGATCATGATCTTCTTTGAGCAGTTGGTACTGATCAGCTGTGGCTCGGTGTGTTTGATTCTCTAGCGCCATCTTTTCCTGCTGCTCCTTCAGATGTTTCTCCAGATCCTCCAGTTCTCCCTTCCTCTGCGTGAGCTGCTTGTACCTGCATGCACAACATAGACACATTCAAAAAACAATCACCACTTACATAAAGAGGAATATCTAAATACGACAGGAAGGAATAAAAAGCCCATGCAAGTATGGTTGTTTTTGTGAACATTTAATATTGACCTTATAGGTTCAAAAGGTCAAAGTAGCGTGTAAAGTTATGAGTGAGAATCTGAGTACACGTGAACAAGTGCCCGTCCCATGCTCCATAATCCAGCCTCACTTGTCCTCCAGGTCCCTGTGCTGCTGCTCCAGGCCCTTGTGGGAGGTCTTCAGGCCCCCGTGCTTTCCGATCAGGGCTTCATACTCGACCGCCTGCCTCTCGTGGAGCGCCGCCAGCTTCTCGTGATCGCGCAGGAGCAGCTCGTAGGTGGACCTCAGCTCCTCTTTGTCCTTCAGCGCTCCCTCGCGCTCACCCTCCACGCTGCTCTGCTGGCTCTGCAGCTGGGCGTTCTGGGCCATGAGGGCCGCGCTCTTTGAGCTCACGGTGGAGTTCTCCACCTAAAAAGGAAATAGAGGAGGGGATTAGGGGAGCAGTTTAAAACTCTTTTGTCATGTGCGTATAGTCAATAGACTTTTTTATTGTGATCTGTACTGGGGTCCTCGATTCAAACACATGTGATGTGATTAGAGGTCGTTCTCGTCTACAGGGGGCACTGTGGCGCCGCTCAGTTTGTTCGGTCTCTTTACTCCATCTATGTAACATCTGCAGGAAAAGGGTTTGTCATGTTTCCTTTGTGGTCACGGCAGTTTCCTGGTCTCAAGCACCCTCCGCAATCATGACACACACACACACACACACACACACACACACACACACACACACACACACACACACACACACACACACACACACACTTCAGTACCTTTAAAACAGCGTTTCACCCACTGAGACAGCTGGGCTCTACTGTAATGGTCGATATAAATCCTGGCGCCATAAGCAGGGTTTAAATTAGTGCAGGTCTACATCGGCACCCGGAGCTCAGCGGCCGCACCAACAGAGCTTTTGTTTTGTATCACATTCATTGTTCGAAAGCATTTCAGATAATAAAATATATGTTGCAGTACGACTATACCACTGTATAATCATCTATTTCTTATAGCTTTGATGTATTAATCATAATGTCACGTGAGAATGGAGTTGCGCCACGAAAGGCAGCCATCGTATAACATGCCAAATCAAAACATGGGAGATCATAAAATCTGATTTCCATACAGATGAGCCGCAGTGGAGATTCCCAAATGGGAGCGGCCCGAAACAACAACATATCTGACGCAACAATTTAAGTGTCGTTATCATGAAGAGGATTTTTGTCCAGCTGACATTGTTGTTTTGAAATGCATCCCCTTTAAATGGTCAGGTCCTTGGTAGTGTGTTGTGTTGTTGTAAAAACTTAAAACGTATCTGTGGTTGTGGTCCATAGTGAATGCGTGTCATCCACGGTCTACTTTGTAGAACAGGTGAGAGTTACCTGCAGCTTGGCGTTCTGCGTTTGAAGAGACGTGTTGTTCTCCTGCAGAGAGGCCGTCTGTCTCTGCACGGCCACAATCTGAGCCTGCAGGTTGGCGCTTTGAGTTTCCAGTTGTTTGAGCTGACTCCTCAGGGCCGCCTTCTCAGCTTGCAGCGTGGCATTCTGGGAAAAAAGGGACACACACACGATAGGGATGTTGGCGTAAACCCAAAGGACTACGTTCAACATTTATTTTGGAAAAGTCCCAGAAGCCATCGTGACATTTCACTAACTCACATTCCTCTCCACCTCGATGAGTCTGTCTTTGACTTTCAGCAGTTCTCTGGTGGCTTCATGACTCTCGTTCTCCCATTTACTGACAGCCTGAGGGTCATCCGAACCTCTAGGGGGCGAGCTCAGCACCATCCTCTCCTCCTCCTCCCTTTGGCGCAGCGCTTCGTAGTTTTTCTTCACCTGGAGAGAGAGAGCGGTGGTTATTGGTGCTCCCTCAGGACAATAAAAGTAACTCCTCCAACAGAAACATCACGATTGAGTGATTGAGTCCAACGCAGCTGAAAAATTAAATTCATAAAAGTCCTAAATGATAAAAACACTATTGGCGTGAGTAATGGTAAAGCACAGCAGCAGACAGGATCCATTATGGCTTCACAGAGTTTGTCTACAGAGGCTTTCGAGTTTTGGATTCAATTCATGTCAGCGTTCAAAACGCATACGCCACCCTAAAGGCAGGCAGACATCCTCCACTCCATCTTCAGAGACTCCTGCCGCCTCATGAATAGATAAGCTGGCAATAGAAGTGGAAGAGTGGATGCATAAATAATGCATCGGCCTTGAGAAGCCCTCAGTGTTTTCAGTGCTTTCGGACCACAGCGGAAATAGTTTGGGGTTTTGGCTTTGTGGTTGGAATGGGATTTTACACTCGGTCAGTTCAATTGTTTGGAGCTATGCGTCTGCATGCAACACATGCAACATACAGCATGTCGTACAATGAATCATTGCGTTGCTGCGTTACTGACCGTCTTGAGCTCCTGGCGCAGTTGCTGGTTGAGGTTAGAGGACTCCTGCAGTCGGGCCTCCAGGGCGGCGATCTTCTCCTCTTTAATCTCCAAAGACGATTTCAGAGTCGACTCCAGTTTGGTCTCCAGGAGCTTGAACCTGACAAATATAAATACTTGAATTAGCTCTGTGTGTGCATCTGTGTCTTCGCTCTAGAGTGTGATTTGTAATCCTCAACACAGATAATGCGGGCAAGGACAACTGGCTTCATGGCGAGAGGGGAGCAGGTGTGGGAGATATTGGCTCAGAAAACGATTATTCAATGGACCAAGAATAATAAAAAACGTCTACAGCCGATGTAAAATGGGTCACATTGCAGACTTATTTGGACTGTACTGATCGCTTTTAGTCCCGAGGATCCCAAGAGGATTGACAGAGTTCTTATTTTAGCTCCGTGAGGTCTGTTTTAAGAACTTTGTGTGTCCTGGGGAAACGATACCTGTCGTCAGAGCTCTCGTCGTGCAGCAGCCTCTCTTTGTTCAGTCCAATCTTCTCCAACTCGTGGGTCAGTTTGTCCAGATCGTTATTCAACTGCTGGGTCCGCAGCTTCTCACTCACAAGCTCCTAAACACACACACACACACAAACAAACAATTTGTAATTAGTGCCTTTACAACTGCCCTGCGATTGGCTGGCGACCAATCCAGGGTGTACCCTGTCTATCGCCCGAAGTTGGCTGGGATGGACTCCAGCCCCCCCGCGACCCTGTGTGCAGGATAAGCGGTTTGACAATGGATGGATGGCCTTTACAACTCATACTGTGGCACACTTCACCAACAATGGATGATGACAGAGCACTGTGGACACATGCGATTGTTGGAATTGACAGTCTTCTCACCTCTCTGAGTGTGCTGAGCGTCTTCTTATCAATGGTGCCCAGTTTGACCAGCTCCTTGTTCTCTCTCTCCAGGTCCTTGACTCTTGTGCAGGAGTCCCTGAAGAAGATCATCTCTTTGCCCATGGTCCGATTCTCTTTCTCCAAGCAGGAGATCCGCTGGTTGTCGTCATCCAGCTTGGAGTCGCGGATCTCGGCCTGCTGCCTCAGCCGCTTGTTCTCCTTCTCCAGGAGCTTCTTGTCTTTCTCTAGCTGGGAGCTTTCCTGCTCAAGAATCTTGTTCTGTGGGATAACGGGACGTAATGCAGACGGATGAAACGTTATTTGATGGACTTAAGCTTGAGTCTAAATGCCTAGTAAATACACGTTTGGCTGAAAGGGCACAGAGATTAATTTAGAAAGGGCCAAAAATCAATTTTGACAAATAATCTGGGATAATCCAACTCTGCTGGGTAGCGTGCTTTAGTTTTATCAGAATGAGCTAAATTACTGGCAGTGCCGCTCAAGTGCCAAATAAAACGTTCTCACATTATTTATTTTAACATATTACATTCTGCAGAATATAAATCATCACATCAGAAAGAATCCCCTCTTTTAACTTCAACAGCAATTTTGGACCAATCTGATTGACCTCATTCTGCCAGGCAGAATCAATCCAGCCCAAGCAAAGACTGAAGCAGTTTCAGTAAAAAACAGCCAGCCACCCAAAATAGGCCTGTTGCAAAGATCTGCATAATTTTTAAACACAGACCAAAAAAAAATCCTGTTTGTGTTTTCGAGGCTAGTTTTTTTTGCCAGAGAAGCGTTTTTTCCCCTACCTCTTGTTCCAGCTGCTCCAGGCGTTTACTGGAGATCTTGAGCTCTTCCAGGTTGCGTTGGAGGCTTTGGTTCTCAGTTTCCACCTCTTGCAGCTCTTCCTCCAACTGTTGAATCTTTTTGCTGTTGTTCTCTAACGCCTTCTGCAGGCGCTGGTTCTCTGTATCTAGGCCCTGGTAACTCACCTGGGACAAGAAAAGCCAGAATAGGATATTAAAAGCATCCATGAACTAGTTGCGCTGCTCCCTGATGCCATCATATTCCAGATCCACTGCAAGTTACCTAGAAAAATATTCATCAATGATGATAAAAGGTGCACTTATGTCTACAGGTTTGTATTAAGATGCACGTTTTCTAATGTTAAGGACCATTTCACTTTGTCTCACTGCTCCCTATTACCAGAAGTGCTCGCCGTATGTTGCTGAAGTTTTACCTCTAATCTCTCCGTCTTTTTGGACGAGGCTTTGAGCAGTTCCATGCTGCGCTTCAAATGGCTCCTCTCGCTCTCCAGCTCCCTGTTCTCGGCCTCCAGTTGAGCGGCCTTAGCGCCCGCCGACCGGAGGCTCTCGGCCAAGCGCCGGAGTTCCAGGTTTTCCTTCTCCAGCTGGGAGTTCTCCTTCTCCAGAGCCTCCAACTGGAAGGTCATGTTCTTCAGAGTGTCCAGCTTCTTCTTCAGACGGCGGCCTTCTGCCTCCAGATCGGAGTTCTCCTTCTCCAAAGAAGACACCTACAAACGCAGGAGAGATGATTAAGATGAGACGACATCTCTCAGGTACGTTTAAGTAATTGCATTGGAGACACATCTAGTATGCAAACATGGAACATGAGGTATCAATGTGGGCAAACGTGCATTGACCAACATACATACACACAACAAAAACACGAGACCTTTTCACAGGTGATTCCTAGACTGGATACTTTCTTCTGCAGGCTCTCGTTGACCCTTTCCAGCTTCTGATTCTGGACCTCCAACTCTTCAGCCCGCTCGCCTTTCTCCTTCACCACTTCAAGCTCCTTGCCTGTATTGAAAAAAACAAAAAAGAGACAACAGCTACAATGGTGATCCTGTGAATTTAGAATGAAAAAACAAGGAAGTCTATTTATACTGTAGAAAACCAAACTTAAAAAAACATTGATTTTTAATGAACCACAAAACCAGTTCAAAAGCGGCTCACTTACGAAGCTGTTTCCTCTCAAACTCGATCTTATTGAGTTTGGCGGTTGTCTCGCAGATGGACTCGTGGAGAACGCGATTCTCTTTCTCCACGTCCTTGACCCGGGCCTCAGCTCCGACCTGGCAGCGCTGGCGCAGAGACGACACTGTCTGGCTCAGGTGCTTGTTCTCCTGCTCCAGTCCCTTCAGCTGGAAAAAATCAGACATCAGAGTTTTAAAGAAAGCCTCACAAGGTCACGTTCAAAGTGATTGAAGTCAATGAAACACATCGAAGGTCTCAAAGCTACAGAGTCCGTGCAGACGGGGTGAGAAACTGCATCTGGGCCACAGAGTACCAGAGGTCTGTGTAGTCTATAAAACATGGCGGTAGCTCCATTTAATAGTTGCACAAAAATTGATCTCAAAAGATCTTGTGTGGACTTCAGTAAATTACACAGCGGAGTCATTTTCTTGGAAGGAGAATCAATGATGGTTTTGTAGAGAGCAGCTTCTATGACGCACAGTCTCTGTTTGTCTGAATGTGCTGGCGCACCCGACCGTGTGCTTGTTCAGTGCACAGGCCGCAACATTTGCAGTATTCCAAAGCACACGAGCGCTTGAAGTGATTATGTTGTTTTACTCTGCTTACTACTGCTATCTCCAGCAACGAGTCCTATCAGTTAACGACCGTTCCACATCAATGTGGCATTCAGGAAGAATACCATTCATGCAATCCTCACTCGGAAGGATTAAAACACCTACATTGACAATAGACAATCATGGCACACAAGTTATGTGTGCATAGGTATAAACTAACTGGAATATGGTCAAGACGCGCGTGTGTGTGTGTGTGTGTGTGTGTGTGTTATACCTGTCTTTCTGAGTTTTCTCGGAGTGTTTCCAGAGTCTTCTCCAGTAGAGCCTTCTCCTTCATCAGGTCAGTACTGAGTGATTCGGCGCTCAGGAGCGACTCTCTGTCTGCTGTCAGTTCGCTCCCCAACTGCTCCAACTGAAAACAGCGTTGAAGCAACATTTTGAGGAGGACACGCGGTCTAAATCGGGTTTTACTGTCAAACTAATTACATCTTATGACACATGAAAAGGCTGAAAAATGAGTCAATGATATAATTATATAAAGAAAACCACGTCTACGAGGGAGATGCATTCACATTCTAATGGGTTTTGTCTCCTGACCTCAAGTGACTTGGAAATAAATGTTCTCTTTGTGAGAGAGAAACACAATTTCATGCATTTTATTCAGAAGGCTTGTAGAGAGGCTTATGTTTCTGAAAATAGCTGCGACACTTCTCTCAGCGAGGGGCGTTTGGGTGTCAAAGACCGGAAAGAAAAGGCGATGCAGGGCTGTCTGGATTTACTGCTCTGCTTTCATCCTCCTATCCACCCCCTCTATGCGCTCTACTTCTTTCTCTTTTTGTTTGTCTCTATGGCTGTGTGAAAAGGCCTAGAGCCCAGCGTTAGGGTGATATATTATGGATGAGTGCTGGTCCAATATGCTAATCTTGGTGGTGACCGGGATGAGGGAAAGGATATTTAACGGAAATTCTGAAGCACTTTAAAATGGTAGATAAACGTTCACTTACTTTCTGGTTCAGTCTCTGGTTTTCCAGGTTGACTTTTGATAGTTTGGTCACAGTGTCATGACTGGCTGCTCCTCTGAGCTCCTCCACAGTCTTCATCAGGGTCTGGTTGTCCTTCTCCAGCTTCAACAGACGGCTGGAGGTCAGCTCATTCACCTCCTCGCCCAACGACTTCTGAGGGGCTGAGGGAATGAAGGCAAGAAAATGTGGATTAAATACCAACGAATGAACGAGGGCAAGATGTATTCTGGTTGTCGAAGTCAAGAACAAAGCCCTCTGGACCAACTTTAGATGTCAGAGCTTTCAAAGTGCAATTTTAACAAACACACGACACAAAGTCCTTACCCAGATCCCTGGCTAGTTAAACCTCTTAACAGCTTTTTCAATCTAAGCGCACGGATTATCCTCCAAGAGCCACTGAATATTAATTACAGGTCTTAATCAAGTGGAAAGAAAACCCAGTGGAGGCTGGCAAATGCAGAGGGTACATGGGGATGACGCCGGGGCAAAGAGCCAATGAGCCGTGTGACGCCTTCAGGCTGGTCAGATCTGTCCGCTGCGTGACACTTTCACTCAACACGACCGCGTTTGCTTCCATCAACACTCCACCTGGTTTGACTTTCTGTCATTTTCGCTGGTTTTAAACAATTCTCGGCTCCATCTTCTTCTCACCTTCGGTCAGTTCTGGTGTCTTGGCCAGTTGCTCCAGTTCCCAGCCCAGGTGCAGGGACTCGTCCATGCTCTGTTTCTGGGCCATCTCAAGCACAAGGTTCTCCTCCAAGATCTCCTCCATACGTTTACGGTCCATGTCCCGCTCCTAGGGATAATGGGGATAGGCGGGGTGTGTGGCGATGAACAAATGCTGCAGAGATGCCCTGTGGCCTTTTACTCCTCACACTGATCGAAAAAAACGTCTCACCATCTCCAGGTCGTGGATCTTGGATTTGAGCTGGAGACTCTCTTTCTCCAGAAGGTGCAGTTTGTCGGAGCGGGTCCGGGTCGCATCCAGCTGCTCCTCCAACATGCTCTTGGTCTCCAACAGGACCTGGTTGTCCTCTTTCAGCTCCTACCAAAAAAAACACCACATCAACAGAGGATACGAGTTTAAGAGCAAACATAAACACTGCAGCCCGTTCAAGAGAAAACATTTTTCAGAAAATGTACATCATTACTTTGAATTGAGTTATATTACAAGAACCAGAAGTAACAGTATAAATAGTAGCAGTCTGAGCAGAAAAAAAGGGAACAAGATTTCTTTGAAATATTCAGTTGGGTGGATACTATGCAAGACAAGGATACCGTTTAAATTCTTTCCCCTGTAATTCAATATATATATATATATATATATATATATAATTTACAGTAAAGAAGTACTTGTATCACGAGATGATGCATCATGATCTTTATGGGTCACATATGCAGTTCATGGCGTGGGGTGCTTAAACGAGCGCCGTCATCATGGCTAAAGGAGAAAACGCTCTGCGCGGGCAGCTGTGTACCTCGACCCGGGCCTTGTAGAACTCGATGTCGTGGAGTCTCTCCTTGTATCGGCTCAGCTCGCTCTCCAGTTTGTCCACGCGGATCGCTTTCTCTCGGAGCGCGTCCAGCTCGTCGCGGTAGGCCCGCGCCGATCGAGCGTCCGACACCAACTGGTAGCTCTGCAGGAGTTGATGCAACCATGGATCAAAAGCTTCAGCCAGCAGACTGTTATTTATTAAAAGATTAGCAAGTCTTTTACATATACAGATACTGGACAGAACAATCTCTAAACACCATCAATTACAAAAATCCCCCGAGCACCTACGCGTCCTCCGTCCCCTGAACCTATTCAACTTGTTTACGGCATTTAGTTTGTCGGCCTGTTGCCGCCTTCAAAAATCACAAGCCGTGCGGGTCTGTAGCTGGACTAAAGATAGCGCTAATAGCCTGTAATGAGCTAAGACACCAGCTAGCTAATTAGAGCCCGGCAGCGCTGGACACAGAGTACTATGACAGCAGAAGGCGTAGCAGGTGAAGGGCGGAGGGACGGGGGGGTGACGAGGTCAAATGAACGATTGTGTGCATGTAGGTGTGTGTCACTGGGACTAAGTCGCGTTACCTCTTGCTGAAGCCTCCTGAGCTCCACTTCCATGTTCTCCAGCTCCTGCCGGGTGTCCAAAAGCTGCTCGCTCTTCTCCTCTCTGGAAACAGGCAACGGTTTTACAAACTCAGAGTGCTAACAAGGACATTCCTTTAGGCCTGTTTCCGTTTCACAGCTTGCAGCTGAATCGTTTAATGGGAGCAGCAGTATTGACATAGTTACACAGAGAAAAACTCCATTTTAAATTATCTACCAAAAAGGGTTCACTGGCCCAACTTTACTTTTAGGTATTTTAGTTTCTGTAAGGAGGCTCTGTGATAATATTTTTGGTTCTTCCTATAAGTTATTTATGCTACTGAGGAAATGCAATGCAGAGTTTACGATCATGTTTCCTCAGAGTTACATTGTCAGACTGACGTGGGAATTAAAGACTGAAATAAACATATTTAAAAGCAACACTTTTGTAAAAGCATGCCATTGAGTATTTCATGAGATGAGATATCTATTTCCAGTCTTACTTTCATTATAAGTTTAATAAGATTCAGGCTCACTAAATTAAAAGTTACTGTTAGCATTCAAACGTAGCACACGCAACATCCCCTAGGCCTTGGTAGAAAGGAAGAAATATGCAATTCAAATGTTTTCAAGACATCAGTGACTCATTCTCTTGAGTAAAAATAGCCTGTTGTATGTTTGAGCTGCGATGGTCATTACACAATGTCTTTCCTGTCTCCTCAATTCAGCTACGGATAGACGGCCTTCTTCATCACACAAGGACAAACAGTGAGGGGAAAGCCAGCGATAAAAGAACTGAAGAAACTAAGAAAGGTAATATGTACGCAAATCCTCAGACTCAAGCCCCTCTATTAACTCCCTCTATTATGGAAAAAACCCTTGAAAAGATAAGGAGAGAAGAAAGTTTTACATGTTGCAGCACGTGTCTCTTGTATTCATTTGTTTACGTGACAGCGAATAGGGCAGCCTGACATTCGCTTTCGCTGTAAGTTTGATCTTGTGTGCGTGTGTGTGTGAACTCGCCCGGCTCCTTCCAACCATCGAGGGACAATGTGTCACACGGCTTTGAAGGAAAACAAATGCATCTCTCAGATGTTGTTCAATGTGTGTGCATGAAACTGCAACACTGAACGTCTGGCGGCCTGTTTGACTGCGGCTCTCTGGGGACTTTGGTTGCATCTCAATAAGCAAGAAGGCATCCACCTTTTCTCATTTCCTTTCATTCACCTGCCTCCTGTTCTTTGGAAAGTACGAGTCAACATGCAGGAAGGATTTCTCTTTCAGTTTCATCAGTTAACTATCTTCCCCTGCTGCAGCCCCCCCCCTGTTACTCACAAACACCTGTCAACTTTAGAATAGCAGATTAGCAGCGGGCTCATATTCTGGATGCAGCTGGCTCTGCTGCTTATGTTAATGGTGCAGCCACAAACACGCTGCTGCTGCTGCTGCTCACTGCTGTACTTGAAAAGCCAAGAAACAATAGGCAACCTTTTCCATGCTAGCTCGTAGTCTTCCTCACCCTACTGTTAATATAGATCCTGGCACTATTGAAATGCTAGATCGTTGTCTTCATTAGAACCAGCAGAAAGGCATTTATATAACAGTAAATGTTTATTAAAGGATATTGAATACTGCCTAAAGGGAAAATATAAGTGGCTCACTTTGACGAGGTCAAACCTGTACTCCGTAAAAAGAAAACTTACCAAACATGACAAATTGGAAAATATGTATTTTTTTTCTAGTTTAACATGACAAACTGAGTGAAAGTGATATTTTGAAATAATCTTCACTGTTTCGCAAATGAAAAACAGGTAAATAATACATTTATATCCAAAGCAAACACCAGACCTCCAAGTTAAATGACTGGAATCCGTACTAAATACGGTTTTAAACCTGGAGAACCGGGTTAACACTCACGAGAAGAACAACGTCTCCAAATATGCCCCTGCGTGTGTCTCGAACTGTGGGTTTAGACTCCGTGTGTCACAGCTTCACTCAACATGTTAACAAACCGACCACTGTGGGACCAGCGGGCCGCGCGTCGCCTCTCGCTCCGATCGGGTCGCCTTCTGACCCACAAACACCAGCCCCAACAGGGCGCGCACATATAGCGACTACATCACTCCCCTGCATCACGTGAATGGACGTAGTTACCCTCTTTTCTCTTGTGCGGCCCATCGCAACCACAAGTAATCAACACTGTGGCAACCAGAAAACAAAAACAACTCATTGGCTTTTGGTCTCTACTGAAGAATCAACTTGATGTAAGAGGTGTCTACGGTGATGAATGTCTGACGAGCTTCCTTCTTTGAGTCTGAACTCGTTGCTTAAAAGGTCAGTGTTCACGTGACCTGCAATCCAATGAGAGTTACAACCAATTGTCAAAGAACCATAAGGTTAAAGAGACAATGGCATGTGTGTGTGTGTGCGGGCTGACTACAAAGGAGATGGAAAACATTTGGATCGCCGGAGAGATAAAAATGATCAAGATAACGCGTTTCAATACGCTTTCTACTTGCTACTGTGATAAACGTTCTCCTACACTGGAAAACAAGATCCGCCAAAGGATTAAGATGATTCTCTTTAAGTAGAAGCAACACATTATCTGACACGCCGGTCAGTGAAATCTAACCCGTGATTAGTTTACCTTGAAAACAAAGCAGAGTAGACTGAAGCACACAATAGTTCTGCAAAGACTTCAGCAACAAATCAGAGATGTCATTTAACATTTAAATACATCCCTTTGTCGAAATGTGCTCTCCTTCTTTTAACTGGTCTGTGTTGACCATTAAGCCTTAGTCTGGCAAGGGATTATAGCACTTTAAAAAGGAAGCTCTATTATTCATACGCAGAATTTAAAAGGCCTCAATAAGGTCTGTGTGTGTGTGTGTGTGTGTGTGTGTGTGTGTGTGCGCAGTATGACGGCACAAAGCCTGGTCTTATTGTGAGTAATGTGAGATGTAGGAAGGAAATGGATTGCTGGTGTCATTACTCATCCTCTCATCATTGTCAGTGTTTCATGTTTGAGGCCCGGATGAAGACATTAAAACAAACCAATAAAAAGAGAATACACTCATAGCATTCCCGTCAGGAATGTGATGAACAATCCCACTGCTTAAATTACAGCCTTTGCGTGATTTAAAACGTGTTGGAATTTCCTGATGTGTCATTGTTGTTAAATTAAACGGTATAACCAATCAGCTGGTATAACCAGACCGGAGCTGGGAGAAGGGAAATAGTATTTTAAACTATGTTGTAAATAGGAGTTTGTCTTTGGTTTAACTATGATGGTTTGCCCTTTTTTTCATACGCTTTTATATATTTCGTTCTGTATCTAGCTGATAAGGACGGGGACTCACAGTTCCTGTCGAAGGCGTCGGATCTTGGCCTTGGCATCGGCCAACTCCACGGAGAGGTGCTGGCGGCTTTCGGTCCTCCTCATACTGGGGGAGTCTCCGGGAGACTGGGTGGAACAGGGAGCCAGTGGGGACAGCTGCACACAGTCTCTCTCCTGAGTCAACTCCACTATCGTCTGCACGGAAGGAACAGACGGGAAGAGGCTGTTAACACAAGTCAGCTATGACCTCTCAAAACTACAACATACTGCAAAAAGACATTTTGAATGGACTACATGCAGAGAGGAGAGTCGATCCCCGGATTCACCCGAAGCACCCCCACTGCCCAAACACGACATAGGCAATGGGGCAAAGAGTGCACTCAAAGCCCCACACACAGCCACGTTTTGATCTATTGCCCCAGAAAGGAAATGGGATTTTAATTGAGAGCGGCTGGACTACAGAGTGATAATCTGGAGGCTATTAGAGTCCCTGACACACACACACACACACACACACACACACACACAGACACACAGACACACAGACACACAGACAGATCATCTGCACCCTATGGGTTGGAAACTCATTTTATGAGTAAAATAAGTAAAAAGTGCACACACACATACACACACACGCACGCACAGTAAACAGTTTCAACCCTTACTTCCTGAGGTTGCTCTTTTCTCTTTTGTGGTAACATAAAAAAGGGAAAAAGTTTCCACATAACCCGACTAGAAATAGATCATCGTTTTCATCCCTGTTCAAAGAACTGTAACAAACATCGACCAAAAAATCCACCGCACAACCTCCCCCACCGAGGAAGAGAATATAAAAACACAGAAACCTTCTCCCTACTCGTTCATGCCTTCCCCATTGTTTACTGCTGGTGGGCTTATGCTGCTTTATTGATGAAAGGAATTACGACCCGGCGTGTTATCACCTCCAGCTGCGTGTCCCTGTCGTCCACCAGGCGCTTGAGGTGGAAAGCCAGGTTTCTGGAGAGGCTGTCCAGGTCCTCGGCAGGCATTTCCCCACTTTCCAGCCACTGCAGGTCCACTACGTTCTCCTGATTATGAGTCACCTGAAAACCCCAAACAACACATCATCAATAACTGCGAGACTTAGTTGCATTCATGAATGAACTATTCCACCTTTAGCACAGCGTACTTTAGATGAGTAGTAAACAAGTAGCTAAGTCACGTATAGTCCTGTTTTCTATGGCAGAGAAGTACCTCTTGGATGTGGGATGCTATGGCAGCTTTGGAGTCAAAGTCCAGAGTCTGGATGCCCTCAATGTATTCCTCCTTCTTCTCGCACTGTACACAGAGGTGGGAATGGGGCGAGGGGAGAAAGGCATGATTACTGCACCAGAGGTCGATCAAAGTGGTTCGGTGGAGGAAACTGTGCTCTTACCTGGACCGCGCATCCGAGTAGCAGCAGCAACAGTTTTTTCATCTCCTCCAGACCTTGCTCTGAAAAAGAAAAAGAAAAACGTCAGTCTCGTCTCACAGACATTCAGACATTCTGTTCAATCAGCTGTGCGGTTTAATAAGGAGCAGGCTAGCAGAGGTTCGTTACTATATCTTGTTCACAGAGGTTTTAATCATGGCGTAGACTTTGACCGGTGCGTGTCAAATAAACAAATATACAGATAAAAAGTGATCTGGCCATTGATGGAGGTTCACATTTCACGAATGCCTTTCGTTAAAGGACCCTTCTCTGGTAACAGAACCACAATGTAGATGACTGACAGGATGAACTTCCCCGTACTCTTCCACGTGTCAGGACATATTGTCAGCAAGGGCTGAAACAAACAAACAGCTGCCAGCACGCTCAACAGGCCTGAGCTCATCTCAGGGATTTGCTCCTGAACAACAGTGAACCAGGTGGTGTCTGAGTGTGTTACACTGACTAAGTGCTGTGGTGTATATATTGCAAGCTGTGAGTGTGTTGATACCAGGACTGTGTTTCCCCTTCATGAAGGTGTGTGTGTGTGTGTGTGCGTGTGTGTGTGCGTGTGATAAGCCAGCTCATCATGTGGCCCAGGGGGCAGTGAGTGTGGACACGGTCGGGCTCTAATAACAATAAATCCAGATTAGTGACAGCGTGTTTTGTGTGGTCTGTTTGCCGCTCAGGTTAATGGGCCAATCAGCAGCTTATTGGCAGACATACAGGAGGAACATTTTTTTTTATCTCTGACATCTCAATTTGTGGGACTTTCCAAATGATTTTAAATGAAAATCAAATCAGATGAACAAAAACGTTGTGCTTTTGGCCCAATCCGTGATGTCACAGCAGTCTACTTTGCATCCCAGCTGTAAGCTTTGCAGCGGCCTTTTTACCAGATCAAACACACACACACACACACACACACACACATGCCAGACGTTGGGGGGGTGTCACTCAACATCTATCTCGGTCATGTTTTGTGTGTACAACAGAGTGAAACACTATAAATGGCTGAGTCTAAAACTAGTATTCCCATTTCTAAAATAGGATTATGTTCCATTCCTCTCTGACAGACTGTTTTTAAAACCCACCTTTAAAAGAACAAGGTGTTTGTAGTGGTGACCAAAATCCAGATTTTTTCAAGCATCCCTGCAACTTAATTATGTCAACTCCTGATAAAGCCACAACTAACTTGATTAAACACTGCAACAGCAGAAGACTGATTGTCTTGTGCAGTCAACAGGATGTCACCGATTTGTGCTTCGTCAGTCCTAGAAAACTCGTAATCCGCTCCTGCACTCGCGATATGAGAAGAAATGTTCAGCAAATTTGGGGCTAAAAGGGAGGACGGTAGATAAAACTTAATTCTGGAAGCCGCGGGGGGCTTAACGGCGCACTATTAGAGCTGCAGGAACCGGTTCTGGTCGGGGAGGGGTTTAGTGAGGAAACGTAAGATAAGGACCTTCGTAGGATACATCATTTATACAGCTAGACGGGGGGGCAGGAGAGGGAGACATGGTGAGATGAAAGGAAAAGACACAAAAGATGAACACATGGGAGGGATGTTAGAAATAGAGAAAGAGAGAGACTGTGAATAAAGAGAGCGGTGGAAGAAAATAGAGAGGGTTGAAAATAGAAAGGAGAAATCTCCTTTTAGCAGCGAGGAGGCGCTGCCATCGCTCTGCTACGCTCCTCTTTTCTCCCTCCCTATTACACACTGGCTTCATCCATCCATTTATTCTCTGCGACACGCATCCACCCTTCCTTCCTTCCCTCCTTCCACAATTGTTACAAATCAATCAGGCGCCTCCCGAGTGTTTGCGTTCACTCGTCCGGGCTTCCTTCTTCCCTTCCTCTCCTTCCTCCCCGCTTTATCCTCCGAGCAGGAGACAAGAGGTCAGAAGGACGCTGACTAACCCTGCTTCCTGCCACGCCATTGTTAATCCGTGTGTGAGGATGTGAGTAAATAAGAGCCGTCTCCTCCTCCGACGTGATGGACCCGAGGACTCGCGTGCCGGGTGCCGAAACTGGTACAAGCCATCTGATATTGCTTTGACGGCATGCCAGAGTACGTTGAGAGGATGGATTTGGATGGACCTTGTTCTCAGATTATTTTCAGGGCCATATGTGTTTCAGAAGACAAAATGGAGTATCTAGTTGTACGAACGGCAACGTCGGAAAATAACCGACCCGGCTTCAGGTCATACAAAATAGAAAGAATTAAATACAAAAATGCATAAATGCGTAGAGGAAACATTGGCATTTTTTTTGTTTCAACTTTACTTTACAACCGAGCTCTTACATCTCAGTCGAACACACAAAAACCCAAGTCAGTCTCTTCGGCCCAGATGTGAGAGCTGCTGTTTTTGCTGGATACATTATTCTTTGCTCACACCTACAGCCGGTCGACCTACTGCGTCTACAGTCTACAGGCCTCTTTCCTGTTGCTGCTACGGTTAAAAAGGGGTCCGACCAATGGGAGGCGCTTTCAGCTGGAACCACGTTTTCATCCATGCACATGCTGGGCCATAATAATGCTTCAAGTAGAGGCGAGAGCATGCGATGCTTTCGACTAAATACAACATAAACTAGACTAAACAAAGAAGCCCCTTGTCTGTGTGTGTGTGTGTGTGTGTGTGTGTGTGTGTGTGTGTGTGTGTGTGTGTGTGTGTGTGTAAGCGTATTCTCTAAACAACATCCATGCACAAGGGAGTGTGTATCTTAGCATCTCACTGTGTGTGCAGACTAAGGTAATTCACAGCCAGGGGGTTCCACAGTGCATTCCCACTGTTCAGTTTAGAACACGCCCCCACCCATCTAAACAAGTGCGTGGACACATACACCCCGCGCAGAGACGCCCCCCCCCCCCTAACGAGAGCATAATAAAAGCCACATGGCCAACGACTTTCAGCTGGCAGAGAGTCAGACCGGTCGGACCGACTGACTGATTATCTGACGAGATGGAGGGGAAAAGGGCAAAACAAGCCCCCCCGAGGAATGCAGTCTAATTCTCTCTGTCTGCTCCGGTCCACTTGCCCCGGAGCTGCCCCGCACTATCGTCTGCATTGGGTCAACTCTAGTGTTCACACTTCACCCCCCCTTTGGGTAAAAGGCTGCAAGATCAGTGTACAGTAGATCTAGCAGTCAATATTATTTGGGAAATTCTGTTCATTAATTAAAGAATCGCGACCGGTTACACAATGAGGCCGGACTTGCTTATGACGCACATCCACGTGTGTGTGTGTGTGCGTGTGTGTGTACTGCGGCCTCTTATTGTTTGTTTGTTTACCCTGCTTGCGCGTCGGGGCGTATGACATTGAAAAGTGCGACTGTGACCACAGAACAGCCACGAACCCCCAACATTTAAAAGCAATGGCGGTGGTGAAAGTGTAACAAAGGCGGCGGGGATTTAAGAGTCCGTTCCATCTGCCGAGTGGAGCATCCGTCAACGGGACTGTTGACGGATGTTGATCAGAGATGCACACAAAAGGCCATGCAGCTTTGCGTGGACACACCTTTCAAAAAAAGTAAAAAGAACAAATCCAATGAGCTCGTAGTGGTTTCAGGTGAAGTGTTGCAGTCTGAGGCGTTTGTGCCTGTAATTGATCTAAAATCAGGCTGGTGGTTCTCCTTTGATGCAGGAGATCTTTAAAGTCATCTCTCCTCTCATCCCGCGGGCTTCCTCGGGGTCACGCTGGGGTATCAGGTGGCAGTCTGGGCAGCAGAGGTTAAGCTGCTCGAAATGTTTCCATGAAACACAAGCACTTGACGCTGCGCTAATGTTGCATTGAAGCCGCTCAGACGTATCCGATGTCTGTGCTCGGCAGGCGCAAGCTTTCGCTGTAATCATTAACACTTGAACGAACGTAACACTTTCAGGTAAGAAAAGTACACAGCAACATTTTTAAGACCTAGTCATTTGCCCTTCTTTTGTTTTTGACTAGCTGCAATGTCTCCTTGTAAGCAACGCATTTATCGAATCATTTTGACAATAAAAGCAGCAGAGTTCACGGTCTTCTTTGAAGACCCCTTTTAAGAATTGTGAGTTATAAATAAGCGTCAAACAGGCCGCTCATTAATCGAGTGAATGGAAAAATCCTCATGATATTGTGAAGCACGCCGGCACTCACCAGACAGAGGGTTGCGTCCGAGTACGAGAACGTTCGGTAAAGGCATCATCACCAGCTGCTGGAGGGTCTCCTGTTACACAGAGAAATAAAGAAAAAAGTAGAAATCACTATATAGGCTTAAGAATTACAGACATGAAGATGGAGGTTCAATTTGCATGTCCATAACCTGGTTTAAATAACCATCGAATTATTGACAGTCATGTGCTGGATGAAAGCAAAGAGCAGAAGTTACAACACTAGAACAACGATCTGCAGGGCTTCGCAAAGCTGCAGGTACTCGACCATGAAATCATCTCCCATCAAAAGACCGTGACAGTGAGTGGTAAGCCTGGGGTTTACCTTTAAGCATCGGTACCAGTCCCTTATAACGGGGTAATGTCTCATGTCCAGCGGTGTGTGTGTGTTTGCATGAGATGCACATGACAGTGGTATTTATGCGGGTTAAATTGCTGCTGTGGGTTTTGCTGCAGGGCCCCGTCCGCTCACATGTCAATCATGTAAACCACATTGAAAGTTTGAGCAGCGGTATACAGCATTCAAGCAGACACATTTATCGATGTGCACACACACACACACACACACACACACACACACACACACACACACACACACACACACACACACACACACACACACACACACACACACACACACACACACAATAATTATTGAATAATCTGTCTCCTATAGGATGCAAAGTGTGGTCATTCAAAACGACCACAACTGCAGTTGCATAATGAAATGGCCGATGGAGGCGATCGCTCATCAACCGCATTGGCTAAATATTTTTTGCAGTCCCGACCTTTGGAGCAGTCCAAACAAAGTCCAAACCGCAGTTGTGCCGAAAAGAAAGGCTTAAAGGGCACCACACTTTAGTATGTCACGTCTGTCTCTCTGCCATCAGGTGGACAGAACTCATTAAAGCCGACAGTTCGCCTATTCTACGCATGTTGCTGCTGACGTCTCCACAAAGAGGCTTAGGTAACAAAGCCCCCCCCTCGCCACCCTGCCATAACCATCTGCTCTATACATATATTAGCTCATCATTCAAGGTTCGTTCGGGGGTTTCGATTGGTACTGCGATTACTTTGAGGTTGATTGAAGGCAGAAACCAACTACGATGACAGAGCTAATTCATTTAGCTGTATACCTAAAATATCCTCTACACAGATGTACCAACTAAAAACCCCATTCTACAAGCAGAAATGTTCAAGGAAGTCACGCCTTCTGGAGCTGCTCTTGGCCGAGATGTAGCAGCTAACCGTAAATTAAAAAGTAGTAGTTTACATGATTACTAAACCCACATAAACAACATTACCAAATGTGTATGGATCAGCAAGTAAGACCTGTACAAGCAGTACAGGAGGTGGTTTTAATAACTTGTTTTAACAGTTCCTCTTTTCTCCCATACAAATGTGTTTGTTCATAATGTGCTTATTGTTTGTTGGACCTAAATGCGTCATTGCTTCCCCATGGCGAGGCCAGCGTGCTCAACACACAACTTCAGATTTCTCCTTATTGGGGCTTGCAGTACGTTGCTCACACTCATAGCTAGCAGCAGAAATAAAAGGGAACTATCGTATTGTTTACGTGTTGCCCCCCCTGTGAGATCCATGAAATGTGTGTGGTGAATCACATGTAGTCATATCAACATTTTCATCTTAGCGAATAGATGATATCTCGTTAAAAAGAAGTCTTCTTTGACTGGAAGGGAAGGTCGGGGGGTTGAGCGGCACTCATTGCCAGTCACAGTTATTAAATTGGGATTTTCTCTGTCACGGTGACATTAGCTGACCCCGTTTGACCTGTGGTTCGCCCCTGGGGAGTGGGTCACGACAAAAACATGATCAAAAACACAAAAAAGGCCAGCAGAACATAAATGAGGAAATTATCTGACCAAACCAAATGTTTCATAAAGTCATAGACATTAACAAATACTGTTGTGCCAAACAACACTTAAAATAATTCATCAAATCTGACATCATGTGGTGACCCCAACACGAATGATGAGTCACTCTGTATCGGGCAGTTCCAGTCAGAAAGGACCGACGTCTCCTCCCGTCTGACGGCCGACACAAGCGTCAGACAGAATCACCGGCGCGGCTCAGAGAGCCGCAGTTGATGCCTCACAGAATGGCATGTGCTGAGCCTGAAAGCCAGTCTGCCACGTGGCGCTCATGACAGCCGCTTTGGGCAGAATCAGCAAGCTATAAAAGGAAAAAAACGGCAGAGAAACCACAAGTCTGCATCATCTAAAAGAAACGATGGGGCCTGGAGTCCACCTCGAGTCTGAAGTTGCGATTTAAATCCTTTTCAAAAGAGAAAGAGGTGGCGGATTGAACATCCTAATGCACATTGCTAATTAGACTTTATAGCATTGTCGAAAATGATGACTCACCACGGTGAAGAGAACCCCAACTGGATCACACACACACACACACACACACACTTCAACCACCTGTCCCACTGCTGACCACTGCGCCCCATCAAACACATGCTCACACCTGCCCCCCGCCAAGGCGGCATGTGTTCGCTGTGCAGGCCCAACACGTCAGACCATGCTTGCTTTAGCTCTTCTCATATACATGCCCCCCCCTCCCCTTCATACATATTCCCAAGGTTAAGAATGAAAGGATTTGTCTTTTACCGAACACAAATTATATTAAGGGCTTCAGAGCAGGTATGAGAGTGTGCAGAGGAATGAGCTGTGCAGGATCATGTGTTTATTTCAGCATCACACCACTGGGTGCCCGGGTCAGGTAACGTGCTACAAAGAGCCGCACAATGTCTCTATCTCGTGCCTTGTGGAGGGCGATATTACATCAGCAGTTACCAACTGTAAGGCTCCGACTGCGGCAGCTAAAGACATCAGGATATAGCTGTTGCTTTGGATTTGTAGAAAACCTATTTTTTTTTCGAACCACGTTGATTTAATACATAGATGCGCGCACTACTAATACAACACCGGTTTGCCAGTCAAATAGTGCGTGTCCAAAAAGGGATGTCATTTGAAAGATGTGGGTTATAACGTGCTTTGAGGATTAGCTGCCTGCTAATAAAGCTAAACTACAGTCCACTAATATGCCTCTTGGATTAGCTGGCGAAGGCTTAGCTCTCATACATAAATCATGATGCAACTGCAGGGGGGAGACCAGCCAGCACACTGATCATGTCACAGTGATGTGCTGCAAACGCCGACAGGCAAGCAAGTACACACACACACACACACACACACACACACACACACACACACACACACACACACACACACACACACACACACGCCCTTCAAATGGGCTCGACTGCAGCTGTGGCAGCAGAAACGTCCTCGGCTCGGTCACTATGTCGCTCTCCATCTTCCCCCTCTAACCAAATCCAATTCACACATGGGGACAGAGGGACGAGTCAGTGATTTGTATTTGCAAAAAAGAAAAGACATTATTCACACAGTGAGTGAGTGAGTGAATGAATGATGATGGAGGATAAAAGAGAAATGGAGTGAGAGACTGAGAGGAACGGGGAGATGCATCTTTGATTCCAACACTTCTCACTCCAGGCACGCAAGGCTGAGCTGCCTCCTCTTCTCACCATCCACCTCCCCTCCCCATGCTCCCCCATCCCCCTATTCAAACACTATATTGCTGTATTATTGATTCCAGCAGGACTCACAGCCCCTCAACACCAGCTCCTCTCCCATCCCGCAGAGACAGACTGATAAAGGGGAGCTCGGAGAACACAATGGGTTTTTCTCCTCATTCAGTAGATGTTGCATTGTGCACGTGCCTTTATGTTCATGTGATCAGCCTGATACGGTCTTCAAATTAGCTCTGCAGGTCTGTTACATGTAGACTTTCAGAAAGATATTGATCGGTCTCCTCCCCCCCAGGGATGTTTTGATGTTCCCTCAGGGAAGGAAATCCCTGACATCCACACTTCAACGTACAAAAGATGTACTAAAGAATATATATCAGATTCTTAAAGAGCAAAATGAGGCCGACATATAAAACTTAAATAATTTGGATGTCTGCATCCTGCTCTATTGTCTTGAGCTAGATGTGGGCTGAATGTTGGTGTGCCGACATTTGAGGTGACATTCTGCTGAACCATCAGTTTGACAAAAATACACACAAACAGCTGCAAACGCAACACTTGGCAAGAGTTGCTCAGATTAATAGTTCATGTGCTCTTGCGGACGGAAGGTGTGTAAGTTCATGGTGGAGTCAGTGGGAAAGGTTACAAGGCTGCTGCATTTCTGTCACTCAGGAGCCCCGTCTGCGAGACCAGCCCTCCCCAATAAACACACACCTCGCCGGTACTCCTTCACATCCATCCACCCAAGCACAAGCGCCGCTGTGTTTTAACAGAAAACTAATTGTGCAGCCGCTGTGCGTGTGTGTGCAAATGATGCCTGAACCCGGAAAGCCTGAATCACACCCATTCTGCAGACATGGTGTGTTGCCATAGAAACGAGGAGATGGGTTTATTCTCCCCATGCTAGGGAGTCTGACTCTCCCTCTCTCTGAACTGCAGACTTCCCTCTGCTGAAAAACTGCAGAGATTATAAACTTGAAAAGGTTATTACAACCAACAATAGGAACAAGTGTTCTTCCGCTTTGCCTCGTATCTCACACGCACAACTATGAAAGCCTCATGAAGTGATCGCTGCAAGGAGAGCTTGTCCTGCTGTTCAGCACCATAATGGACCCCACAAAAGGGGCTTTGCGCACTGCGGCTCAGTATTTCTCCAGTAATTCCACAACGGTTCAAACAACAAAGCTAGACAATTTGGGATTTCTCTAAATTGTAATATTTCATTTATTGGGAAAGTAGATATTGTTTTAATTACCTGCTGGAAACACTAACATGCGAAACTCTTTTACTTGGAAGGTAAAAAGACAAACAAGCTCTTAACAAAGAATGCATAATGACAAAGTCAGAAGGACTGAAAGTTATTCCATTAATCACACAGTTCCTCGTTAAGTGCAAATTTGAGAAATAAAGAGGTAAAATAAAGCTGATGTGCTTGTTTTACTGCCAGTTAATTAGCTGTGACCTGACAACCGTTGGCTC